CGATGACATGTTTAATAAACGGCTTTTCGATTTGTTACATTTTTATTAATAATAATGATTAAGAATGGATTTAAGAGTTCAAATAAATTTTTCTTCGAAATGTTCAAATACATTGGGGCCCCCTTATGATCTCTTTACGCCCTCCTAGGAAGGCGCGCCCTACTGGTTGGGAAGTCTTGCATTAGGGGATTGCAATTGCTCGATATTTCAATTTGTATTATAGAAACGCAAACAAGTTTCAAATAAAAGTTATATGGGTTTCAAAGAGGCCTATTTTAAAAATATTTTTTAGGTATACGGGGTGTTACGCTTTTGCCTGTCAAATAAAAATGAATATTTTTAAAATAGAAAATCTTGTATTTTATTTTGGTAATATTGTATATTGTATTCAACCCTAGAATAATATTGAAAAATATTACAGGGTTTTTTTTGTTAAATTAGAGAATGATGCAGTCCTCAAATAAAATGATCATAAATTAGGTAGGTTAGAAATAATTTAAAATTGTTTAAATTACAGTCTTATAAGACCCAAATCTAACGAAATATGATGATAGGACTGCTTCATTTTATACGAAGTGTTTTGGAACTTGTCATAAATATGGCTCATTTCAAGTTCAATTTACTCAATTTTTTATATGCAACACCCAGTATATTATTTTAGCATTAAATTAATTTATTTACACGATGTCCTATCAGAGGGTAATTGATCGATATAGCGGTTTTATTTTTGGACATACGAAAAAAAATTTAATACAAAAGTTGTACGGCCATATTTTAAAATTATTTTTGAATATACAGAGTAGGTAGTTAAGCATGAGGGATTTGTTTTCACATCATCAAACAGTTATAATAGACGTTCCTAATATTTTTAATTTTCATTCATTTGATTTGATGTATATAGCGAGGTTACGATATTCTCAATTTTTTCCAATGCAATAAGCACCTTTATAATTAAATCGTAGAATATCATTTATAAAACAGGTATCTAATCCTAGTCTATATTTAAAAATTTTTAATATCTCTAACATAAAAATTTTGTTATACCACTAATTTATAAATTAAGTTATTAATTATTTATTTTGTTTGGTATTCCCTGTACCAAAAGCATTCTTCCCCAGGTGGTTTTATCATAAAAATTTAAATAATTTTTTCACATTTTTCTAATTGGCTTTGGAAAATATGAACCTATTTATGGTAAATTGTTTTAATTATTGTCAACCAATTTTGGTATAAGGAATGTCAAACAAAATAAAAAGTAAAGAAATTAATTTATTGGTGGTATATTACACAGGATATTCCATTTGAAAAAAATTGAGAAAATCGTCGCCTTAATAAGAAAAGTGAACTATTTGGAAAAATGGGATTTAGTTGTCACCTATTAGAATAACGTCTAAGCAATTTTCTGACAAAGCTGCAGAGAGTCAACTTTACCGATTAATTTTAAATTCAACCAATAGAAATTTGCCTATCCCGACTTGAAAATTGTCAAAAAGAAATTTGCCTAAGTGGGTTGTCATCTCAGACTATGCGTTTTTACCGCGCCCGGTTGTCAGATTATTTTAAGGAGTAAAAGTAGTGTGACTTAACGATCCGCTTGGAATATCATTTATAAATTTTGAAATGAGAAATTCATTATGGGAGCCGATAAGTCGTTAACATTCAGTTCATCCTTTTAATTCTGAACATGAGACAAGTAAAAGGTCTTGCTGATTCACTAGCCAAGGAAGCAGCCAACCAAATACTTTTTGGACCTAACCCTTCTATTGGCCTGACAAAATCAGTGACAGACCTAATTAAAAAACTATCCCTTGTGAAATTCAAGGAAAGATGGGATGAAACAAGAAACTGCAGAGTTGCCAGCGAGTTCTTAAGTTATCCTGACCACTGCAGCAAAAAAATACTTGACTATGACTAGACAGAATCTGCGCCTAGTCACAGGCATTCTGACTAGTCATTGCCAAGTACGGAAACATCTCCATATTATGGGGCTGTCAGAATCCGCACTCTGCAGAGGGTGCGAACAAGAAGATGAGACCATCGAGCATATCCTTTACGATTGCTCGACGCTGTCATTTATTAGAAGATTTGTGTTCGGCGAGTATCTGCTAACTCCGGCCGATATAAGAGAAGCACCTCTTGGCGACGTTGTCAACTATATTAAATCTGTAGGCTAGCTCACGAGCTAGGAGGTGCCTATCATCTTAGGAGGATGCACAATGGGCCTAATGAGGCCTAAGTGCCGTAAGGTAACCCACCCTCCACACGTTACAGATACAGATGAGACAAGTAAAAGGTTCAAAAAATTTGTTCGACATGTTCGAATTATAATTATGTAACAAAACTCATTGGATGAGTTTCTCAAAATTCTGAGCCCATAGCTCATCAAAAAAAAAAAAAAAATATAATATTCAGAAAGGCAATAAATTAGAGGAACGTCTAACTAGTAGTACCTATAGAAACACTCATTTAATAATACAGTGTGATAAATATATAGGTTGTTTCAGAACAAAGTACTGTAAGCTGAGAGATAAAATAATAATTATAATAATAATATCGTCTTTATTATTTCCAATATAAATTTACAATTTTCATAATTTTAATAACTATACGAGAATTATTATTGAAAATAAAGGGCGAAGTTCAGATTTGAGAAGGAGGATCCACCACAAAATCTGTTCTTCCACTTAACCCAAATATAAATAATAAGCATAAGCTAGTACAAAACTAGAATGGTAGGATATATTAAATGAATTTTAATCAATTAATTAATTTTAGTATTTGAGGAGTAATAAACTTTAATAAATTTTAATTTTGTTTATTTAACAAAAATAGTTTGAGGCAAAGTTTAAACCTGGTTATATTTAATTTTATTAGGTCATTAGATAACTGATTGTAAAGATGGCAGATCTGATATCCGAATGATCGACGAAAGAATTCTGTATTGACAGTGATCCCTTATGTTTAATATTTATGTTATGTACATGTTATTTTTCTATGAAGATATGGCGATTTTTTAGTTACAATGATTCTATGAAAAAGACTAAGTGTGTGAAGTAATCTCCTACTCTACATATTTAACCATTCAATTTCTCTTAATTTATAAGAAATTCTCTGTCGTCGGCTAATACCGTATATTAACCTCAAACATGAGTTTTGTACTTTTCGGTCGTCAGGTCTCAAATGGCAAAGTTGATAAAGTTTGATACTCCAACCATCTGAGCTAATAGCACTTGCGTCAATTGAATGATATAATCGGTTATGTGTTTAACCAGAATAAAAAGCAAAGATAACTTAGTTATTTTAAAATTATATGACAGTATTTGTTCCAAGCTTTTAAACAAAAATGTTTTCGTTCCAATATCTCAATTAACAACGAAGATAAAAGCGAATGGAATTATTAAACGGTTTGCTAATAATGAAAATGCTTAGATACGCCACTGGTGTTCTGTAAGTGGGTCTCAATAGAAATTTTAAAGCTTACAATGATTTTACAAACGTCATACATTCCCATATTTTTTTCCATAAACGAATTAATAGTAACATGTTTAGAAAAAATATTATCCAATATGGCGGCCATTTTAACAGCTGACAGAAAATTTTCAATATACGCTTCTTATTCAAAAATGTCCCAGAAATTCAAACTTTCAATAAAAAAGCGGTTTCGATTTTAAATTAAAAATAAATTGCGATTTTCAGTTATATCCGGAAAAATCGGAAGTAAGCCATGACGTCACAGACCAATTGAATTCAGTATATGAAAGAATCTGTTATAAGCTTTTAAACAAAAAAGTTTTCATTCCGATATCTCAATTAACAACGAAGATAAAAGCGGTTGTAATTATTAAACGGTTTGCTAATAATAAAAATGCTTAGATAAGCCACTGGTATACGGTATAAATGGGTCTCAATTCAAATTTTGAAGCTTAGAAAGGTTTTATAAGGATCAAACATTCCTATATTTTTTTCCAAAAACGAGTTAATAGTAACATGTTTAGAAAAAATATTATCCAATATAGCGGCCTTTTTGATAGCTGCCAGAAAATTTTCAATACATGATTGTTATACAAAAATCACCCGGAAATACAAATTTACAATAAAAAAAGTTGGTTTTAATTTAAAAATAAAAAATAAATTGTGATTTTCTGTTATTTCCGGAAAAACTGGAAGTAAGCCATGACTGAATCCATCCCAAGAAAGTATTTGTTCCAGTCTTTCAAGCAAAAAAAAATTAATTATTCCAATATCTCAATTGATAACAAAGATAAGGGGGGGAGTGGAACTTTTAAGTGGACCACCCTGTATACATCACAGCAAATCAATGAAAAGGCAAACAATTTTTAGGAACATTTCTATAGAAATTGATGAAGTGAAAACCATAAAATTTGTTATACCTACAATAAAACTACGACATATATAACACAAATTGAGATATCGAACAATTACGCACTAATGGGACACCCTGTATATAACGGTTCAGGTCGAAAAATTTAGAGTTCATAAAAAAAAATGTAAAAAAAATATCTTGACCCGAGCTACAATACTCTAAAAATGTTTTATTGGTTATACAAATATTCTTGACTCATCCTGTAGAAATGTTTCAAAAAGAGATTTCATCACCTCTTAAGAGTTATTACCATAGATACTGAACTAGTTTATTTTCGAGGAAATCATAACTTTGCGATTATGGACGTACAGTCAAAACAAATAAATTCATTAAATTGAACCCGCCTTCTTCTATAAAATAACTCCAAAATCGTTCCTCCAATCGAGTGTCGATGCATAAGTGAATACGTGGTTATGCAGTATTGGTAATTGAAAAGAGAGCTCCATTACCTATATACAATATATTTTTGTACTGTTGCAAGTTGCATCATTATAATTTCAATATCCTGAATTTGTCAGCTCGTATATCGAGAATAAGTCGGTTCTTGATAAGAGTTCTCGTTGTAGCTATAAAAGTATCGTTGCGAATTTTATTGGAGCTTATTTTTGTTTTCTAGTGTTCTAGTGCATTGTATTGTATGAGCTATAGTTGCTGATTAAATATGGCGGCGATTGTAGAGGAAGACAGAAGGAGATACAGACCGTTAGAAAACGTTTTGAATGCAATTAATAAAGATTTCATTCAGTTGTCTAAAACAGAAGTCATCAGGAATAATGCTATTTTACGTGAGGTGAGTAAAAATTATTTTTTGATCGGGGTGTATCGGGGATTTACATAAGATTATTTGATAGGGGACTCACTAGGCATCGTTTGTTTGAAACGCTTAATTTTGAATATTATGTATCGAAATTTCTTGCTAGATAATAAATTATATTTATAAACCGGCGAATAACGATTAAATTATGCAGAAGTTGCAAATAAATTAGTTAATCTCATAAAGGGCGTGACCGTTATATCTATAAAAAAACGTTCATGTATACAGGGGCGATCCATTAATAAATTAAACGATTCAAATATTTTTATAAGTAAAATGAAATAGGTATTAATAATTTCATTCTTGAAACCTTCATGGGTTTTTAGTTTTTGTTTCAATTAAGGCAGACTTTACAATTAGATATTAGATAGATTTATTTGTAAATTTATTTATGAAGAAATTAACGAATTAATTCAAAATCCATCTGAATTTCTTTACGATGTAAATCGTTTTATATTATTAATCCATTTTGTGATATATTATTCTGCAAGTTAAGTCAGTTCTCTGCCAGTTTAAAAAACACTCCATTTCATTATGTATATACAGGGTTCGGCAAATTGCTGTCGTAGTTATACTGAGACCAGAGCCACGTTAATGTCTCTCTTATTTATGAAGCGGGGTCCGGTAAAGGATCCTGAGGGGCGAAATTCACAAAAAAAAAAATTTAAACACTCAAATGTAACAATTTTCAAAAAAAAAATATGGATGAAGCAGTATTTTTCGGAAAAAATTGAATTAAAAATCCCAATTTTACAGGTTATAATCACAAAACAATTACTCTAAATGACAGTTGTTGCCAAGTTGTTAATAAAATTATAAGTTTAAGGATTATTTAAAATTTATAAATTATAAAATTATAAAAAAGAAATAATCAAAAATCATAATTTTCCTTTGCTTCAAAAAGATAAGTAAGTACAGTAATAATCGTATATAAAATTAAAAAAATTAATATATCAACCAAATTAATTTTAAGAATGCAGCTCAAAAAAACTACATACAAAATTAAAAAGTGAAATTAATTAAATCACTTAACATGAAGGTAATACTTAGACAACTTTTTTTAAATTTTCTTTCACTCAAACGAAATAACGACTTTTCCGTAGGATGGCGGCTTCGCCGCCACCTAAAAATTTTAACCCATACCTGGCTACGCCTGCCGGCATAGACTCCAACGGCCTGGACACAGCTCAAATTGAAAAGAAAAGTCTCACATAACACATTATATTTTCACCTATAGCTTATTTTCTTCTCATTCAAACAGAAATCTTAAACTTGGAAATTATCAGTAATAAAAATCAACAATATAGTATGGCAACGTTGCAAACTCGAGGACGGTATGTGTCAAGATCTGACAATTTCATGAATCACTATCACTTTATTTTAGGTTTTATGGAAGGAAATGATCAAAAGTTAGGTTAAATCAGTCAAAATATTGCATTTTATAATATAAATGAAAATAGCAAATGAAACGTATTCTTCCATATTTAATTTCAGTTAAAATATTATAAAAAGTAAGTTACTTCAATATATTAATGCTAAAATCATGAAATTCTTACCTCAGGATTCTTTACCAGAACCATGAAGCGATTTGGATAAAATTTGGGACAAACCTAATAGACATAATTTTTGAATTAACACTTATATTTAAACAAAATGGCCAACTTCCGATTTTACCGGAAATGCCATTAGGTTTGATTTTTTAAATGGATCACGTTTTTTGGAATCTACAAATTGCTTTCAAAAATAAAATTAAAAAAATTTCAGTTAGGCCATGTACTATAATATTTTAAGTGGTCTATGGAGCTTTTCCTCAAATTGGTAATAAAATTTGTCATCTAATGGTAAAATCACCCTCAATAGGTGCCATTTAAAAAATAATAAATAAAATTTAGTTAGCAACTCTGCATGGGCGTCGTTTGGGGACGGCAAGGGGAGGGGGCAGTTGCCCCCCCTGGCTTTTACAACTTAATCAACAACGCGTAAGATATGCATTATGAACAACAATCTGATAGAAATAATAATATTCAGGCTAATATAGTTGAAGAATATAGGTTGAATGAATATATTTATTGCATATCTGGAATCCCTTACTATATCACGCTTTTCCGAAGACTATTAGTTTTTCCTTAAGCCTGTTTCATACCAAAAACATAAAAAAATACTTTTTTCACTACCGATTAGAAAATGAAAGTAGTTGAAAAATTTTGAATCCACCATTTTGAAGCTGAATACCAAATTGGAGTACGAAAGAGCTTTCTGCACACCATTAATGATATAGCGTCCAAATATTGTGAATTTTATCCAGACATACAAAGTGGTTTAAAAATTATTGATGACTCTTCCACCAACGACAGAGTTAATCGAAAGAACGTTTAGCACGCTAAGGCATGTTAAAACATGGCTGCGGTCTATTCGATCAATGCGAGGTCATGGCAGGGCAAGCAAAAGCGATACTAGCGCAAGCTGCGGATAGTTCGAGTACTTTAGGGCGATATTTTGTAATTATGGCGTATCAAATACACGTATACATTTTACTTTTTACTAAAAAAAATAGGTTAAAAACAATAAAATAAACAATCAGAGTTGCTATGTTGCAAATTATATAAATTTTCAGTAGCAAAATCGAAATTAAATCAAATAAATAAATGGACAGCTGTATAATAAAAAGAAAAAAACCTTTATTTTTATAATAATAACAGTAATAGTGGAAATAATAGACATCAGAACAGGTTTTAAATAAACAATAAATTATTATTTTATGATATTCTTCAACATCCCTTAAATCTTAAATGTTTAGCAAATTATTAGATTTCTGCCTTTGATTAGTGTATATGGCTGAAATGCAATCTTGTGACTTATTGATAGGAAATCAGTTTTAATCACTAATTTCTATGGGTTCTTTCGAACTAAAAATAAAAAAAATATAAATTACAATCACAAATATACCAATTATTTTTGTTAATACGTTTTAATTCTACGTTATTATATAATGGTAATGTTTTTATTTTGACATTATTTAACCTATTCTTCAATGACAACTTATTAGGCTTAGGCAAGATCTCCTACATTTTCTAGTAAATGCCTGCCTATGTTTTATTATTGATTTTTATTGATTATACTACTTTTTTTTAGCTGAAGTAATAAAAATATATGATAATAATTTTTTCACTTATCCTTATACTTTTATTAAAATTAACATATATATTTTTTAATTACGAACTCTATTAAAAATTGTATTGTCAGTATACGCAAATATCGTCAGTTAGTTCATAAAATAGTTGACGCTGCTGTCACGCACGGAGCGAATAATGAATGAAAAAAGGCAGATTGAAAAATAAGTTATGTTTTCTGTTATCGATGTTTTTAGTAGAGAAAAAATGAAATTTAAAATTTGCCTTTTCCTAGTGTTTTTTTTTTGTGTTCATCGTCGTGTTTTAGTGAGTTTTTTATGTTTTTATTTATTTATAATTTTTTTTTTTTATATTATTATGTATGGCTGTGTCTTCTTGTTCATATTTTTCTTTTATATCACACCTTTTTGTTTTTTAAAAATGTGCTTTAAGTTTCTTGTTTTTTCTTTATTTTAGTTTTTGTCTTTTTTGTTGGGTTATTTTATTTCTTGGAGGCTTGTTATGACAACTTAAGTATCAGTTCTGTCAAATAGGTCAGTGATATTGTTAGGATTACTACTAAAGTTCCACTCCCCCTTATCTTCGCTATTCAGTATTCAGTGAGATATCGGAATATTTTTTTTTGTTTGAAAGACTGGAAAAAATACTTTCTTATGATGGATTCAATTGTTCTGTGACGTCATGGCTTACTTTCGGTTTTTCCGGAAATAACAGAAAATAGATTTTTTTTAATTTTAAAAGGAAACCCTCTTTTTTATTGTAAATTAATTTTCTGGGACTTTTTTGTATAATAATCGTGTATTAACAATTTTCTGTCAACTGTCAAAATGGCCGCCATGTTGGATATTTTTTCTAAATATGTTACTATTAATTCGTTTATGGAAAAATATATAGGAATGTTCGAACTTCATTAAATCTTTTTAGGCTTCAAAATTCCCATTGAGACCCATTTATCGTATACCAATGGCGTATCTAACCATTTTTATTATTAGCAAACCGTTTAATAATTCCATCCGCTTTTATCTTCGTTGTTAATTGAGATATTGGACTGAAACTTATTTGTTTAAAAGCTTGGGATAAATACTCGCATATATTGGATTCAATTGGTGTGTGACTTAATGGCTTACTTCTGTTTTATCAGAAATAACAGAAAATCTCAATTTATTTTTAATTTTTAAATATAAACTCCCGTTTTTATTGAAAATTTGAATTTTAGGGACATTTGTGGATAAGAATCATGTGTTGAAAATGTTCTGTCAGCTGTCAAAATGACCATCATATTTGAAAATATATTTTTTAATATGTTACTGACAGAAAATTTTCAATTCTTTCGATTCTTATACAAAAATGTCCCAGAAATTCAAATTTTCAATAAGAAAAAGGGTTTTCATTTAAAAATAAACAATAAATTGCGATTTTGTTATTTCTGGAAAAACCGGAAGTAAGCCATGAATAATTAAATCCATCATGAGAAATTTCTCTTTTATTTTTCATTTTCTTTGTTTTCCAACAAATAAACATTCTAAATTTTTTCAAAATTTTGCCCCTCCCTATAGAATTGTGTCACACGCCCATGCAACACTGTCATATGTTATTTAGACCGCAGATTCCAAAAAACGTAAAATATGCAGAATAATCTATTTAAAAAATCAAACTTAATGGTATTTCCGATAAAACCGGAAATCGGCCATGTTGTAGTACAGGATACGAAGTAATAATGATAAAAGTTGCTTGCGATGTCATTCTCTATAATTCTTGGATTATACATGATTTTCCTAAACTATTTGAGGAAAAGTGCAAATTTCGAATATAGCTCAAAAACGGATTATGAGGAAAACACCAAATTTTAAACCCAAGCTTTAATCCATCCTGCGGTGAGCTGATTAAATTTTGGGCATAGTCGGTGCTTGGACTATGGGTGTCGTTTACTTTAAGAAAATAAATAGCCTTGACACTATTTTCTTCAACCCATTTGTGGCATATTTTATTTAAAAAAAAAGTTTTTCTTCCGGTAAGCAGATGAGCGAAGGTCGACTTTACTTCGTATTTTAGACTATTGGGTACAGGAAGGAGGATGAATGGTTGCATTTTAAGTTTTGGACCATGCAGAACTTTTTATCAAGAATAAATTTTTTCACGAAACCAATAATAAAAAAGTTTTCCATATGGTTCCAACTTAGTGAGACATATTGTATATTTTTTTAAAATTTCAACTCCCCTTAACCCCCACATTTTCGATCATATGTTTTTCCAAATCAATAGACTTCGTCCTCTTATAGAGCTTGATTTTTTCTGAAATTTTCAAGTTGATTTTTCGTTTCTGACTTATCGTGCGGACAAAAAAATATGACATCGGACGAACGTACAGACGGACGGACATACAAACAGACGGACATACGGACGGAACGACCAACGGACGGACAGACGAACAGTCAGACGGACGCACAGACCGACCGACGGACGGACGAACATTTTAAAAAGTTGTTTAAAATTTGATGAGAAGGAATTTGGTATAAAAATATTTAAATTTGGATCAATATTATAAATATTGGTTTCGGAATAGTGGTACAGGGTGTTTCATATAAAAAATTCTAAAAACTTTCCTGGAAATTTTTAGAAAATGAATTTAGTTTTTGACCAGCCTGTACAAAAAAAATGTAAACGTCTAAAAAATTTTTATTGGATTTATATGTTTGTAGTTTTTTAAATTCCAACGTTAAATCCGTGAGAGCCAAACATTTTTTAATAGTACTATGAATTCGAGAGACGCTTATCGAGACTGAGGCCTACAAGGGTGAACTCGTAGCGTAAAAAAACGAGAAATGATTTAATTTGGAACGAAAGACCGAACGCCGATAGTAGTATTAAGACGTTGAATTTTTTGGTTTGTGAAGCATTGGCATTACTTAGGTAAAACCATGTGATTATTTTCATAAGCCTTGATTTTTAATACCATTCTATATTGCCTTTTGATTAGGGCTTACCTCGGGGTTTACAAACTTGTTCGAACAATTTATCCAATAATAATTGGCCCATTCACTGTTGGGTTTTAATTAACAGTGCTGTTCCTAAAGTGGCGATGGGAAACAGTAACAAAGCCTACACAGAACACGAGGCTAATGGCCGTAGTAGTCGACGCCGATGACACCAAATTAAAAAAAAAAAATAATAATAATAATAATTGGCCCCTTTACCTCTTAAGCCTGGTCATGTACAATATTTAGGTTCCTTACTTCGCCTATTTGTCTAAAAATATTTGGTCCCTTTTAAATATGCCCATGTAAAATTATATGATCTCTTTATTCCCTTAGATCTGTTCATGTAAAAATATTTGCGCCAATTGTCGCTTAAGCCTACCTACGTATAAAAATTTAAAATGGTTTCAAAAAAGCGGCAACATATTTTTTCATTTTGATAAATTTATTAACACCAATTCTTTGGCCAGTGCATTTAACATTCTGATAGTTTAAAAATAGTAGTGTTGGACGACTACTGATGTATTTTTTAAATATTTTTTAAAACATTTTGGTAATTAAAAATTTTCCAGTTGTTTTTGTCTTGGTTTTGGAAAAATTTACTGAAAAAGCTAATCGGTCTTGTAAATCACTAATTTTCATGCAATGCATCTTATTAGCTGAACAAGTTTCCATTATGCCTATTATTAAAGACTTTAAGACATAAATACCTTATTGTATGTAATATATAAAAAAAAAACCTTAATCAATAGACTTTTATCATCTGATGCTTACTAAAAAAGTTGATCCAAGGTCTTGTATATCACTAATTTTCATGAAATACATCTCATTATACCGACAAGCACTCGTTTTTATCCGTTATTCTTAAAGGATTACGTCAAAATTTTACCCTCAACATTTCTGTACTGTTTTCAATAAGGGCGTTCAATTATTTAAAAAATAAAACACAATTTACAGATTTTATTTTTTGTTGTTAAACGTAATGTCAAATTGCCTATTTTTCGATTTTTTGATTTGAATTTTTTGATTTAGATTTTTCGGTTTTGATTTTTCGATATTTCAATATTTCGATTTTTTGATTTTTTGTTTTTTTTAATTTTTCGATTTTTCAATTTTTCGATTTTTTGTTTTTTCGATTTTTTGTTTTTTCGATTTTTCGATTATTCAATTTTTGATTTACTGATTTTTCGATTTTTCGATTATTCGATTTTTTGACTTCGATTTTTCGATTTTTGATTTTTCGATATTTCGATTTTCGTTAGTGGGTCGTAGAAAAACTATACTGTATAATTCGAGTGGATTGTCCACATCCACTCTTGATACACAAACTTCTAATTTTCTACACCCTCATGGACATTAGCTTATCTATACGCACACACTACAAAAGGAAAAAGTATGCTATTGCGTTCAACTGAATGAATATATTTTATATCCATTCTAAGTAGTGAGAACACTGCAAAAAAATATAATCCACCAATCAGAGTTCATATTTTGGACACCCAACTACCTACTAATATTTTTTTCTACACCCATATGGATATTAGCAGACTACAGAACGAAAAAGTATGTCATTGCGTTCAAATGAACGAATATATTTCATATCCATTCTAGGTAGTGAGAACAATGCAAAAAAATGAAATCCACCAATCACAGTTCATATTTTGAACACCCAACTACTATTATTTTTATAATTTTAAATAAGGTGTATGGTTGCAAATATGAAAGTCGCAACCTTAGAAATTTCACCTTTACAATCAGCAGCTGTTGTTTGACAGGTCGTTTTGGAATGTTTGCAATGTATGGAATGTTAGGAATCTTAGGAATGTTAGACGTTAGGAATGCTTGGAATGCGTAAAATTAGTCACAGAAGAAAAGCAGGAGGATTTAAAGAAAATGAGTATTAAAGTAGTTAGTAGAACCGAAAATTCTTAAAATCAATAGGGTTCTAGGTTAAAAGCAATTATTCAAGAAAATCAAAACCGCAAGTCAATGAGAACTTTCGTTCTCGAGTTATCGTGCCGGCATACATACGCACAGACGACCAGATGAATTTTTTTTTTGCATTTTCGGACTCAGAATGATCGGAAAAGTGAAAAAATGTTTAAAAAAATGGGGGTAAGAAAATTTTTTCGTCTACACGAATTCAATACTGAAGCCCATAGGAAGGGCCTCAATAAAATGCAATATTTTTTAGTAAAAAAATTTTCTCCAAAAGGGGTGGATATTAAAAACTATTGTGTAGGTATGTACTAGTGATTACAGAGTAACTAAAAAGGAAAAAAGTTGGGTCATTCCATTAAAAAAAAAATAAGTGATCTGAATAATTTTCCATTGGGCTACTCTATATACATGACAATAATTTCCGAATATTTGGTTTAGACCCCCCACTGACATATCTTCCAAATAATTCGTTACTTAGTGCTTATGCTACGTTTGAAAAGTACCTCGTTTTTTTGCTTGATACCGTTCCTTTTTCTCTATTTGCTCCATTGATATAATTTACTCGATGTCACGTGACTAAAAAAATCTATTCGCTCTGCTCGAGGAACAACATTTCAAACGTGGCAATAGTAGGAGTTATAGAACTACGTCAAAGCTTTGCCGGACCCTATATATTTTATTTTACAATTAATTCCGAGCCCATATTGTGTCTACAGCACGCTTTAGACATCAATTTCTTCACGATGAAAACGATTTTACATTTTGTGAATTGTAAATAAATTCAAGAAGTTTTGTATTAGATTATCTCAATTTAACGGCTCTGTCGCAATACAGCGCTGGACAAAGCTGCGACAAAACAGCGCCGCGCCGTTACAAAGTGGCACTGGACAATTCACGCTAGACAAAACTGTACCAGGATAAAAAGCACCGGTACAAAATGGCTACAACAAGTAAAAATGTGGTATAAATAAGGATACTTAAGCATAACAATTTATATTGATAAATTAAATTAAATAAAACTTATTAACTACCTTGAAATTATGAATCCATATTATAAACAATAAATAACATTAACAACGGACAAAGAGAAAAATATACCTGGTATCAATTTAACAACATTTGAAAGACGTCTATATCAGAAAGACTTTCCCTTTGGAATAAAAATACATGTTTAAATGTTCAGCATTGTTTAAATGTTCAGCATTGTTTAAATTTATTAATTACTGACAAATATCTGGGTGGCTCGTTAATAGCTCCAGGTCGCACAGGTTAGGTAAATAAGTTAATTTTTTTTTAATTTTAATTAGAATTGATGCTATGAAAATATTTCTATTTCTATTACATATTTTTCATTTAGATTCAACCATATGAATTCATGTGTGGGGGTTAAAGTCCCCACTGTGGTAATACTATCAGATACTGTACCGCCTCACTTCATGTATTCAAATTGTATTTATTGTTCAGCGATTTACTGTACGGTGCTATTTTGTATAGGAGCCTATTTGTCCCAAAGCCAATGTGTTACGGCGAACTTTTGTCTTGGCGCCATCTTGTCAATGCTCATGTTTAGTGGCTTAGCCCAGTTTAACAAGTGTAACAAAAACAAATTGTAAATAAGTGATGGAATTAAGCGATGACGAAATTTTCAGATGTAAAGTGATCATACTAAAAATGAAATTCGAATCATTAAGAGCTCTTTTATTTGACGCGTAACCATATTCATAACATTAATATTTTTTATTGTTTCATTACTTCTGTCAAGGGATTTAGATCACCTCGACAGTAATGAAACACCTTCCATCTCGTTTTTGTAATTTACTGATGCTGCAATCTCTTTTTAGTTACTGAGCTTGCTGACCGGTAAAATGCAGAAAGTAGACAACCTTTTTAAAGAAATGTTTTCCACCGTTTTTTACGGTGGTAGTTTCTATGACGGTTTGCGTGTGGGAACCCCAGACGAGTTTGATTTGGATCTTCTTCTTACACTTCCAAAATTGGTTGAACCGGAATTAATACTTTGCAATATTCCAGGGTACTTGCAGTTAAAACTTAACAATTATCCGGCTTTACAAAAGGATAAAAGCATGGCAAATAGATACAAGTAAGTTATTTCCAAAAATTGAGGAAACAAGTTTTTTTTTAATATTAACCTAATACCAAAATTACAATTCTCAAGTGTGACCAAACAAAAATAAAGGAAAAAGAGATAACTCAAAGTCTGTCTCACAGAAACATCGAGCGACCGTTTTCCTCGTAACTAATATCGCAACAGGCATTGAATTATATCAGAAGAGATAGAAAATAATTATCAACACTAACTGTCGCTTGATGTTTCTGTGACAAGAACTTTGAGTTTTTCTCTTTTACCTTTATTTTTAAATTAAATTGTTATTGAAAATATCAGGACCGGACTAGGACAATCGCATATCATCTTTTTAATGAAAGAGATTCAAATTATCCTTGTACGTCACTGGAATTTTGGTGTTAACAACGGCCAGAAATTACCTTATATTACGTTATCATAATAATAGACTGTAGGAAATTTCAGAAATGTGCAGTGAAATGGTGACATCTGTCACCGCTCCCAAATTTTTTAGAAATTTTCATGAGATTTGCAGAGCTTACGGGACAAAGACATATTTCTAGTGAAGGGCTATTCCAATGTTTTACGGGTATATGACTAATATGCATTTTAATTTAATAAAAAATTATTATTTTCAAAATTTTTCAATTGAAATGAGGTTAGTAATTATTGGAACATTTCCATACCATCTCTGAGATATTACCGTGATGCATTAATATTTTTTTAAGGGTTGGTTGACCCTGACCCTGTTAGGAGGATCCTAAATAATGACCCATATCGTAATGGTAAAGTCTCTGAAATACCCAAATACTTCGCAGAAAACTATCAATAGGCTTAGTAAACCAACATTCTGATACAGAGTATGTGAAAAATATGTCTAAAAAAGTAAGCCAAAGTAAAACAAAAGTCAATTCTTTAATGTTAAGTAAGTTGAGCAAGTTATATATAAGATATACGAAGAAATGCCTGATGTGAAATGTTCTTCACGGTCAATTAATACATAGATTCGAAAAATTGGCTTTCGCTTTAAAAGAAGTAACAACAGACAGTTTTTATTGGAACAAACATCGATTCAGTTAAAAAAATGTCGTTTTTGAAAAATGTTAACAAGGCGATATAGCTGGGTAACTTTAAGTCTGTATTTATGGATGAGACGTGGGTATATAGCAAGGGAAGTGACAGAAAAAGTTGGCAAGATTGAACAATGGCTACTGAAAGTAAAAAAAATAGGAGATGGAATTCGATACATAATAATTGTCCATAGTGGCAATGAAGAAGGGTTTATAAAAAATGCAGACCTCATTTAAAAGACAAACAAAAAGCGGGGATTAATATGAACACAGAAAATTTTGAAAAATGGTTTAAAACGAAATTTATACCTATCCTGGAACATCTTTCTTTGATTATAATCGATAATGCCAGTTATTATTCGCGGTACGTGGAACCAATTCCATGTTATAGTTGGACAAAAGATAAAATGGTAAAATTGTTGCAGGAAAAGAACATTAATTATCCAATAAATGGAATGAAATATCAGATTTGGGAAGTTGTACGTTAAAATCTACCACGAAAAGAATTCCACCTAGATAGATATGTTGAGGAATATGGACATAAAATATTAAGAACTCCTCCATATCACTGCACTGCCAGTACAATGCGATAAAAATGGTGTGGTCACAGCGCAAACGATTTTATGACGAAAAAATTTTAACAACAAAGTGGTCACCGGAAGATGTATTTCAGACTTGGTGTTACCGATACTCAATGGGACAATTATGTAAGATACACTAAAAATATAATTGTTTCCGATTGGGAAAAATACAAGCAATTAGATGTTTCTGATCTAGAACCAATTATTAATAATTTAGGTACAACGGCAAATAGTGAGTCTGAATCAGAGTACAGTTGTGAAGAAAATAATATTGATTAAAAAAATGTATGTGAGTTATCCAATAAATATTTTCTGTGCCTCTTATTATAATATATATTTTTAACAAAGATCTGTTTCACGAATTTGGACCTGTTTTGGATTATCTATAAAAACTCTAAAAATACTAAAAACTAAGATTCAGCTTGGAAATTAATTTTTTTTAGTATTTGTAGACAAAATGTAAAAGGTAATCTTAATTTTTTCAAAATGACTTCTTGTATTCGTGTAAACGCACCTTAATAAAGTTTACGCTGCTAAGCAACAACAAAGCGTAACTGAAATAAGAAGACACGTGCAAACTGTAACTAAAAATGCGATTCTCTTTTGTCAGAGGACTTGGGGTATTTCTATCACTTTAGTGCTGGCTTCGAAATATTAAGATCTGATTCAATTTTCTTTAATAAAATACTGGGTTATTTCTTTTGACAAGAAATATTATTTTATTTATAATTTTAAATGTTAATATAGAGGATGGTCACATAAGCATAATTTTTTTGACGGAACCATTTGGCGGTTTTGACTAAAAATAGAATATGATTTAACGTCAGTATTATGTAAAATTGTTTTAATCTTTTTGGAAAAAAAAAACAAGTTATAAAAGTAATTTTAAAAAACCGACTTCAAAATCGTGCAGATGCCATAACCAGATCTTAAGCTTATACGGGACCTCCCCATACAAAAAAGAATCATAGAAATTGGTCAAAGTGGTAAAGAATATCGCTAAACATACATAAAAAATGAAGGGTTTGAGGATTTTCTCATGAACCCAAATATTAGATCTTCACCAAATGAATATGGACCCACCCCTGAAGTACCCCCTTTCTAACCAAAATGAGAATCATTGAAATTAGACACCGTGTAAAGAATTATCGCTGAACATACATACATCAAACAAAAAATATTACGACAAATTGAGAAGCTCCTCCTTCTTTGAAGTCTTATAAAAAACCACTAACAAACAGTTCAGAGCCACGAAAAGTGCTTTAAAATTAAACAAAAATGAACTATAAACTTTACCACTTTTAAAGTACTTTAGCTTAATTTTACCGTTTAGATATCGCTGGAGGCAGAAGAAATAATTGTTTTATATCCCCTATGTCCTGTGACGTGTACTAATAAATTAAGAAAATTTAAATTTTATTGCCAAATGTCTACTTTTATTTTCCTATTAATCCAATCTCTGTCTGTATTGTAGGAAGAGTGAAATAGAAAAATTAATTGGGTGTCTGTTATTTATTTTAACAATTCTGGATAATGCATGAAGTGTTGCAACAAAATAAAAATGGTAGCGTCGACTAAAATTTACTATTATTATATTTTAAAATGATTGTAGTTGTCGATGTGCATTTTAAATAAATAATAAGCTACATATAATAACAATTCCTAGCCATTATTTTTTACTTGGATAGGCAATTAGTTTTTATAAATTAAAAGGCAAATAAAAGAAAATATATATTTTAAATAATCTGTAATTAGATATGATTTGTATATGTACCTGCAGTAAAATTGGTTACAGACCTAAACCCTTGATTGCATTTAGGCGGTACCCCGCCCATTTAAAATATTTGATATTATATTCCCTAATAAACCAAGTGTCAGAAACTTCATATATATGTCAGTTTGATTCTAAAATTAATCCATACAAATCTGTATTTATTTCTGTTTTTAAATCTGTTGTAAGTATTCATCATTGATTCTGTATTTTTCAAAGCAGATTCAGCTAATTTAAAAACGTCCGCAAAAGTTAAATAAGACAAGACAACTAGAACAACAATAAAAACAACTAAAGTAATCAATGCATTATGAGAAGAAAACACAAAATATTGAAAAATATTCGCCTTTGGGGTACAATATTTGGCATCATTGTAACAATTTGTAGTTATTCATTAAAAATGGTTTTTTAATTCCAATTTTCTTCTAAATGCCTAATTAATTGGATGAATCACAATGTTGTCTTGTTAAAATAAAGACGATTATTGATTGTTTCTAAGTAAATAAGATTAAAAATTCCGACGCGTTGTTGTAGTCCATTGCCAAAAACAAAATATTTTAATTTTGACACCCTGTAAATTGTTACCTAATTATTTAATACTTTATCGAATAAAGTTGAGTTAGATCGTAATATTTTAGAGCCAAGATGCTATATTATACCATATTACTCTACAGACCATGCATCCTGTTTATAAATGATTGTTTAAATAAATTATAATATACTGTAATGTGAGCCATTTCATTATTCAGTCATGCTCTAATCCTCCAAGTCTCAATTTGTCCGATTATCATACATAATTAAACCCCTTAAGACCAAACATATGTGACGACTATGGCGGAGGAGCTTTCGATGACTATTCGAGAAAGAACGGGATAATGTTTCTAATGTATTCCAAATATAACGTGATAGTGTTTCTAATTTTGGCGAGAACGTTCTGGAACCCCACCAATAATTTAAAATTTGTATATAAATATTGGTGGAGGAACACAGGTACTCAGTTATTATATGGACAGTGAAGATAAATAGTGAACAGTTTAAAGACATTCGAAATATATATAAATTAGAATAATAGTGTTATAAAATAAATAAATTACTAATAAACCGTTGTTTAAAATAAACAAACATCACAATACCGTTGTAAAAATAAAATACAAATCGTCGAAAACTTTAAATAAATCAAAAATAAAATACTGTTACGCAGGTTTTTGGTATCACAGTTTATTTCAACTCAACTTTTACAATAACTATACATTAATATGTAACGTTTATCATAAAACTGAAAACTGACGTCAGGTCGTCGACTTATATAGCTTGCCTCAACCTTCTAGAAACTTCTCGAACAATCCGGATTTTTCTTTGACAAGAAATGACATTTCGAGACATTTTTGGACTATTCCATATTCTTCCTTTACTCGAACCTTTACTTATGACGACCGCAGCACGCTGTCGGGTACTGCGTAACAATACGAATTAAAATTAAAAAGTTTGTCTTTTTATTTTACTATGTGGCCAATACGCTTAGAATTTTAGACCAATCAGTAGCTGCAACATCACTTACTGCGTTGTTTGAAAAGTATTTTTATGTCTGCCAATTTGAATGTGGTATATCAATCGGATTTAATTCCCAGTGGCAAGGTCAGAATCATTTCATCTACGACCAAAAATGTAAATGTATATTTTTATAAGCTATGGTATGATGCGTTGTCTAAAACAATGACTGAACCAGGTTCTAAACGCGAAAGAGTAAATTGAAACCACGTTTCAAATACATTTGTATCCATGTCTTCGTCCTTTAGCCGGAGGTAAATGTAATCCCGTAAAGAGCCCTTATAAGAAATCATCTTTAATCGCATATTTAACGTAATCTTCTAAAATTATTTGTTTATTCCCCGTTTTTCTTTGTTTATATTGCTCTTTCATTTTCTTTACTCGTTTTTTTTAATGCTCGATAAACTGTACGGTCTGAAACTTACCTTAATTTCCCACAAAATTTTACTGCTTAATCTACTGTATAATCTGAAAAATGTTCGCGAATACCATCATATACGTTTTTTATTAAGTTATATTCCGTTTCCGAAAAATGATGCCGTTTCGTTAAAGGATTGCTACGGCTGGGGAACTCCAACGTTGCTGAACATAAACCAAACCGTTAACGAACTGAACTCACAAGTGATTATTGTCCATTACCTCTGCAAATTAAATATTAACTACGTTGCATTTTCTATATAGAGTGTGACTCAAACGTGCCCGTTTTATTACGTGGCAGAAAATGCGAGAGAAAATAAACACATGAGAACGTGTAAAAACTGATCTCCGGCTAGCAGATGGCCTAGAGCTGTTATATCAATGTGGAGCAAATTACGTACCTACATATTATTACGTTTTATAGTAAAGTCTCTATATATTTATGTTTTTACATTCAAATAAGGTACCTAAAATTTAAGTAGTGTAATTTACCTTTGAGACAAATAATAAAATAATCTTAAGTATGATATGTTATAGTTTAAAGTAACAATTAAGTATTTTAAACATTTTTTTTGCATAGTTTTTATAAATGAAAGAAATTTTTCTTTCAGTATGTTATAGCAACTCTGTTAGACATCCCTGAAATTTTACCACTGTCTATAATTATGGTAAAGTAGGCTTGTTTTCTCATAGCAAACATTGAATTTGAAAACATTTTCTGGTACTTTTAAGGGATTTAAGAAAATTGCTTGAAGATGAAAAGGACTATTATTTGGACAATCAAAAAGTACGTCAATGGATGGAAAGAGTGGTAACACTTGCACTAAACGATTTCCAAAAGGAAAATGGAAAATATGTTTTGGACGTTTCCATGGGAAGATTTCTTGTAAGTAGCACTGTAACTGTATGTTAGATATCGCGTGATTATAATCCTGCCAAATTTTATATAATTTGTTTCCATTACCTACTTTTTTATTTAATATGGCGGTTGTTTTTTTTTAGGCAAAAATTCATAAAGCTGGTCCAGCTTTTACTCTAAAAGTTACTGGCCAAGTAAAAGGCGAAAAAATAAGTTTGGACATAGATTTAGTGCCATGTTTTCTTTTTGGGAAAGATAAGTGGCCAAAATCACAATTTAGACCTAATCCAGTAGCATCCAAGGTAAAACCAAAATACGTCACATATTGTGAGAGTCAACCGCCTAAAAGGTATTATCCTAAAAAACGGAGTAACATATATTATTACAAAAAATTAAAAAAGGTATAATATACTTTTTCGTTGAAAGTGGAGAGAATGTGGCTAAAAATAGTTTTTAAGAATGCATCTCGATTCATTCTAACAGCAAGCTCCTGAAATATTACTCTCCCAGGTAGCAAGTAACAGTTTCGAAACGTTTAAAACAAGTTATCCTGGACGTTTGTTTTACGTTATATGCAACGTTAACAGAACGTTTGTCAATCGTGAGAACGTCACAAAAATCAAACGTTAATTTTACGTTTGGTAAATTTTAACCAAAAGTTAACCCTAAACGTTTGGTAAACGTCAAATTTATCTGAAAACGAGTCCAAAGTTAAAATATTTTAAAAAATATATTTTTATTAGCTGAACAATACACACTTTTGTACATATTTTCGTAATAAATACTATTAATAGATCAAACAGAATTTTTTTCAATAAAACTATTGAAAATATCCAACTTATATAAGAAACGTTTCTGGTTGAATTATTATTATTTTTTATTGAACTTTAAAAATAAAATATATTGAGGTACGTCCACACCAAAGAAACACAGATGAACAATATTTGTTGCTGGTTTCCATTGCCCGTCAATAAAAACGGAAACAAATAAATTACTGTAAACATAATGTCTACACTAATAAAACTCATTTTTTATGATGCATTCTGCACTGCACACCTCCAAAAAATATTAAAATACCTACAAACTATTACAAACCAAGCCACGCCCGCCATAATTTAGTCATATATTCGCTTCCTTGAACACGTTGCAAGCGTTGCACGGAAGACGACAAACAAACCAAGAGCCAATTACAAGTAAAGGCTGAACCATTAATGAAGGGCCGATGTGAATTGTAAATAAAACGCAGAGTATTTAGGAAATTGTTTTAATTTTATTTTCTTACGATAGTATGGTTCAAGGCAATTATGCGTGAAACAAAATATCGGCCAAATGTTCGCCACGGCTTTGGCGGCACACCTCCATTCGATGGTCTATATTCTATATAGGCACAATTAAGGTTCAATGTCGTTAATGTGTCGAGTTATCTCATCTTTTAGCTCTTGAATTATTGTAGGCTTATCGACGTATACCTTTTCTTTCTAATAACCCCAAAGAAAGAAGTCCAACGGTGTCAAATCACATGACCTTGGCGGCCAATTGTCATCACCATTCCGTGAGATAACACGGCCATTAAATTTTTCGCGCAAAAGAACCATTGTTTCGTTAGCTGTGTGGCACCATCTTGTTGGAACCACATATCGTCCAAATCCATATCTTCCAATTCCGGCCACAAAAGTTCGCGATAGCAAACACCATTCACGAAAACTGCTTAGCCGACCTGATTTTCGAAGAAGTACGGCCCGATGATGCCGCCAGCCCATAAACCTCACCAAACAGTCACTCTTTGTGTATGCATCGACTTTTCCACTTGGATTTTCATTTGCCCAATTGCGACAATTCTGCTTGTTGACGAATCCACTCAGGTGAAAGTGTGCCTCATCGCTAAAGATAATTTTCTTCGTAAAGTCCACATCCACTTCAGTGTGATCGAATAACCATTCGGCATATCGACGACGCTTCAAATGGTCCGTAGGCTTATATTCATTTATAGGCAAGTTTGTGGCCAAAGACAGAACGGTTTAGATACCTACACCAGACCATATAGATTTATAATTAAATTGCATGATTCGTTATAGGATTTGATGTGTGCGGTATTAATAGAAATTCAATTTCTGTTAATATGACATGCAGATTATAAAATAGCCGTGCGTTACCGTCTCGATGACGGTGGGTGAGGTTTTCCTCACCTGTAAGTCAAATGGCACCATCAATTATCTTAAAGTCGCCTCGGATCGCCACGGCAAATAATATTAATAGCCTACACAAGTGGCTCAGTCGACTTCAGGGGGTGAATTAGGGAGAGTATTATTATTTTGTCATTTTTTAATCATAATATATTATTTTTTTGTTCAATTATTACTATTCGTTTCTCGATTAATTCATATTATTATTATTATTATAATACAGTGTGGAACAGCCAAATGGAATAAATTCGCTAATAAATAAATGGGACATGTCGATTGGTATTTTTAGTTGCGCATTTTTGTTTAACAAAATTTTTTATACAGAGTGTCATGTACCAGTGGCCAATACGAACTTTGTATATTTTTTAATTTTTGGATTCTTCAGCAAATTCTAGACATTTTATGTACTATGTCCTATACCTAACTGTTTTGGAAATTAAAATAATTTGATTTCAGAAATCCGTTACAACACACTCAAAAACTAATAAGTAATACTGTTTATTTCTTGATAATGTAACAAAAAATAACACATCTCAATGTATATGTTCATATTCTCTGGAACTTGTGGGTTTGCTGGATCGGGATATAAGTTCGTTAAAGTTGGCACGACATTATTTTGGAGCAGTGCTAAATAATTATCGCCATCAATGAAAAAGGGACCTATCCCATACCTACAGCACAAACACATTTCGGAAATATTTCAAAAATGTTACATTGAAATATTTGTAATGTATAAATATTACCAAAAACGTCCCACAAACATTTCTGAAACGTAAAAATGTCCTGTAAATATAATAATTCACAGTAACATTTCTGAAATGAAAATTTGAAATTTTTTAGAAATATTAAATAGTAATATTTCAGAAATGTACTCTAGTTTTTTTTCTAAAATATTATTAGACTAAAAAAGACATTAAAAATATACATGTTTATTTAAAATAAACTAAACTCAAAAATTGATTTCTTAACAAACAAATAATTTTTAAACATTATTTCATAAAATATAAAGGCGAACCGCTTCATTTCTACCAATTCCTTTGAATGCACTAATCTGAAACAAATTCAATTAACAATTTTATTCTAACCTAACTTATCTAGGGATGAAAAACTTCATAAACTAAGATTCCACTTACTAGTGTATCTTAGAGTCTAATTATTTAGTTACACTACCGTTTATAACACTTACCCGTACTATACTCTGCTTTAATCTAACATCACTGAACTACCTCAAAAGGCTTGGTTCTCTTGAGTATTCTTATTAGATTGGCATGGTAAGGAGCTGGATAATCTCAAGGTTTCCATGTTGGAGGAGTCGTTGTTGGTGACTACTGGCAAATTTTTGTATTGCATTTGCAACAGCTTTAATGTCCTTGTGAAGATCAGTATTGAGGCAGTACCAGGGTGCATCGACGATGTTCCTTAATACTTTATTCTGGAAACGTTAAATAACTTTTGGATGTTATTTTTACTGGTACAGCCCCAAAGCTGGCGAATCGCTTTATTTCCACCAATTTATACAAATTATTTGATTAATAATAGTTTCATTAATATTGTTTTAAATTAACTATAATAAAACAAACAATACGCATGCCTAAACAAAACATGAAGTTCCGTTTTTCAATCGCTGTAGAACTAATAAATAAAACTGGTGGAGGGACAGCAAAATGTAGGTTATATTTAAATACAAATAAGACTAAAACTGACTGTAAATTTGATAAACGAAATGGCGTCACTCGTCTTAGAGAAGAGATACAGTAAATAAACCTAACCTAAACAAGCATTATTTCTATAGTACTCACCTCAATTTCTAAAGACATATTCTGCTTCCTATTAGGGCCGCCGAGAGCCAGGTCGAGCCCCAGGACAATTCTCCACATCGGACCCCGCAACAATTTTATAAAAAAAAATAAAAAAAAAGGTCTTAAGCAAAAATTTTTCCTCTTAAATTTATCTAAAAAAAAAAGGTCTTTAAACAAAAACTTCTACGCCTCTTTACTGAATCTCTCTAAAAAAAAAGATGTTTGAGCAAAAACTTCACCCCTCTTGTGCCAAACTACTGAAAGTAAACAAAAATCCTCGCCACATTTGCGGGGCCCCTGTTTGAGCCCGGGCCCCGGGAATTAGTCCCGGTTGCCCCCCCTCTTATCGGCCCTGCTTCCTATAACAACAGCACAACGCATAAACAACAAAAAAAGGAAATGGCAAAAACCGACAACTCAAATCTATAATTATTTAGAATATAGGATTGATTGTCTCTGGCTTGACATAGGATAAAATAAAATGAGGAAATACCATGGATAAAATAAAATAACTACATTATCCCATCTTCTTTTTACAAATCAGAAATTCTTCGTTAGGTGTTGGCCTTTTATAATATTACCCGTTTAGTAACCTTTTGTGTAACATGTATACCATGTTTCAGAAACATCAGTGAAATATTTAACTAAAATATTTCAGAAACTTGTGCTTGAAATGTTATATGTTTGAAACGTTTGAAATTATTTCTGAAACAATTCCTGCCCAAACATTAACCTTTTCGGGGTATAGCTTATGTTCTTCTCTCATCCAGTGAGAATTTTCCCTAGACCAATAGGGATTAACATGACCGTGAAGTGTAAAGGAACACTCATCAGAAAACAAAACATGTTCTACCCAGACAACACACCAAGTCCCAGAGATATCCACAGAATATATTTTGTGGATATCCAATATATCCACAGGATATCAGAAATATTCCGTGGAACTAATATGGATATCCAAATGTCCGTCTATATCCAGAATATAGAAGATATCCTATGGATATTCAGCAAAATATCTAATGAGTATCTCCAGACAATACAAGAAATCCCAGATATATCCATAGAATATATTTTGTGGATATCCAACCAAATGTCCGTCTATATCCCAGGATATAGAAATTCAGATAAATATTTTATAATTATTTTTAGTAGAGGTTCATAAGTAACCAATGGTTATTGAATAACGTCGAAAGAAAATAGAGGTAAAAAATATTCCCAACAATCTGCCTTTGATTTTGCCTACTAAGGAGAAAATCATCCTTATTAGGAATCTTCAGCAATAAATGGAACTTCTCGACTTCAGTCTCTAATGAAGTCTGTTTGTGAAACAATGTCGATCAAACTCAATTACGGCGGGTTAAGCATGAGTAGATACGAAAGTGGTATCGCCATCTATACTTAGGAAGCAAAATCAAAAATTACATCTAGTAGATATCCACGATGGTTTGCGTCCGCGCTTAGACTTTGATATATTTATAGTGGATGTCCATGGGATATTGAATACACCTTAAAAAAAATTAATTTTAAATATCTCAACGGTACTATTAGCCACAATGGCGAGTACAATGGCGTAATTTTTTAATAATTTGCTATATAATTACAATTATTTATGGACATTTGCATGTCTATAAATTACATTTCATGGATATAAAATAGATATCCACCATGGACTGGACATTCAGTGGATATTGGGATGTTCAGTAGATATCCAAAGGATTTGGTGTGCTGTCTGGGTAATTGGATCACCATATTATCTAACATTTCACAAAATTGCGGTTTCCTATCAAAATCGTCTTCCTGAGTTGCTATTATTTTATAGGGATGCATTTTATTTTCTTTTAATGTTCGAATGGCTAATATCGAATATTGGAGCTGCTTGTCGACTAGAAGTATGTGGGTTTTCCTGAAATTTAAGCTTAATATCCTATTTAGTATCATTAGTTATTGCACTGGCAGCTGTTTTTTATGTCCAAGCTCGCAAAACTGCTTCTCTATTTTACTAATTGTCCCTTGGGATATACGCGGCTTTGGAAATTTTTCAAGAAATAAACGGGCAACTTCCATTTGTGTCTGTGTGTTATCTCCATAACCAATCATCTGTAGAATTGTCATTATGTGCATTTCTGTTGAATGAACCATTTTTCTGATATGCAGTTAAAGAAATTCAAACGAATATATAACACTGACAACTGCTGTCATGCAGTTAGATAACAATTTGCTAAGGTCAGGCGTGTTAAACAAAAGTAAACAAAACTATTTAAGTATAGCTTTTTTATTTCATACCAGTAAAAAGGAACTGAAATGTTTTTTGCTTACTTTCTCATTATCAAGACCTAAATGGGAAGTAAGTATTGAATGTGTTGTAGCGAATTTCTGTAATAAAACACTGTATAATGCCAAATAGCATGTAAATCAAAAAAGTTTCACTGCTCAATTTAATATATAAAATTTTATTTTTTACGTTTCCCAGTTGCATAAATAACTTTTAAAAAACGTTAATACTTAATCGTTATATTAACGTAAAATAAATAACATATAATTAACATTACAACCGAGATTGCAACCATATAAAAATGTTTAACGTACGTACTTTTGCTACCTGGACTGTATTTGGTTACCATTTGTTTTTGGTCCTCTTTCATTTGACATATTATATTAAAAATACCATTGTCTGTGCTTTTCTAACCCACTCCTTCATAGATCGGCTCAATTTAGTTAGGTGTCTCCCGCAAAATAAAGTCATCTATCTAACTATTAACAATGGGCGCATTAAATTATTGAATTTTGAATAAATTTTCACTATATAATATATTTTTAGACTGACTTTTTTATCGTGCCAAAACCAGTAAAAGACGCTCCTGGTCGCAGTAACCGTTATTGGAGATTGTCCTTTCAACAGCAAGAAAGAATAATCATCGACAATAAAAACTATCTGAAACCAACAATAAAATTTTTAAAGGTACGTTGTTTTATCCTATTTTTAAAATCAATTTAATAAAAGGGTGTTAAAGAATTGGATATTGGGATGATCAGGAAAAAATTGTTGAGGAATATGTTCAAAGAAGAGACACTAGAAGAGCAGTATAGTGGTAGGTAAGACATTGTTAGTCTTGATATACAGGGTGGGCCACCGGTAACACCTCGGTCGGTAGAGCCAAAACATTTAGATTTTTTTTAATTGATGTATATCAGAAAAAGCAACAATTAAAAAATAATTTCAATTATATAGGGCTCTCTAAGAATAAAGTGATTTAATGGGACACCCTGAATTTCATTTTTTATTTGAATTGCCCTCGATTTTCTCAATATCACTATACCAAATATTATGGGAATACATAGGGTATTTCACACGCTTTAACCAATTTTATATGAAAATCATATTGATTTCAATGGCTGGTATACATAGAAATAATATAGAAAACCAATTGTTTCGAGAAACATAACCTTTTAATTCTGACCAGCAGTGGGATTTTCATCTTTCAATATAGCAGATGTCGAGACGCCTATCTTCGTTCGACAGAATGCGATTCTTATGTTATGTCTCTCTCTATTCAACACGTAACGTGTGTTGAGTTCGCACATAAGAATCCTGCCCAGATCAGTTCAATGGTATTTAACTCTACGTGGTAAGGAAGAAATTTGAGAATTTCAATTCCTTTTTCTCGGGCCATCTCGTCTATAATATATTTTTTGAATTTGTTTTTTATGTTGCCTTATAACGAGTAATTCTGCCTCCAAGCATTTAGGACTGATAATATTTTTAGAACGAAGCCATGTTGAAATATCTTCTTTTTTCCATCTTGTTGTAGGTAGTGACTTCTTTAATCGACTGTGATAGGATGCATTATCCAAAACAATAACGGAGTTGGTTGACATTTTTTTTTATAATATTCTGAAACCAATTTTCAAACATAGGGCCATCCATTTCTTCATGGTAGTTTTTTGTTTTGTTTGACTCGAACATTAATAAACCATCTGGCAAAAATCCATCGGAGCTTCCAATGTGGGTTATTATTAAACGATTTCCTGTTGGATTTTTAATCCACAAGAGACCCCTTCCATAAAGGCTTGTTTTTTAGTTTTGATGGAGGTATCTTGCCAAATTTTTGTTAGGTACTGTATGCCCAGCATTAACCCATGTTTCATCTAAATAAAATACCTGTTTATGCTGATTCCTTGCGTCCGCTATTTTCCTTAAATAATCATGTATCCACTAAATGATTTCGTCTTTATCTGTTAAAAAACTGTTTCTGTCACGTTTTTTGTAACGAAAATTTAATTAATGTAATATTTTTTGAAGATGAAAATATGATATAATATTTAGGAATTTCATTTCGAAAGAAAAAAGAATGTACCGTTTGCCTTATTACATTCTTTACCCAAGTTTCAAAAAGGGTCTTGTTTCTTCCTGAGGGCTTTTTCGGATGTGAGACTTCTCCAATAACTGTATCTTCTTTAATAATGTTATACACTGTCTGCTTAGATACTCCAGTATATGTCTCACATTTAGTGGCTATTTTATCCACAGAAAGTGAAACTAAAGTATTTTCGAAGATTATTAAAGATAATGCTTTGTGTCCACTAGGTCGTTTATGCGTACGTTCGTGTGCTTGCAATATTTTCTAATACACTCGCTATTCTTATTTAACTGTAAAATTATAATATATGTACTAATACAAAATTTCGAATCAATTAAAATACATAGGATACGGCTATGAATAAATAATGTCTGACTTATCTGTCAAAAGAGAAGGTTTATTACAGTAAAAACATTGAAAACATGGTTAAATCTATACGAAAACTTTTATTATGCCGATCAGATGTATTAAAATTTTCATTTTGACTACAAATAAGCATTGAAGGATGAGGTATAAATAAAATGTCTACCTCTTGAACCTGTACTACGTTCTGCCAATTAAATTACTGTACTCCTTTTTAAGACTAGGGATTTTAGTTTTCGAGATATGACCAGATTTCGCCCGTAACAAGGACTTTCAGAACCATGTTAACTTGATTTTTTTTATATAAGAAATACCTCTAAAAAAGTATGACGGCTAACCTGAAACATCGTGTATGTTCACTTATGTATTCGATCAATATAAAACTTGAGCTGGTTCTGTCCAAGCCGGTACCGTTATGCGCATGCGCTTCAACACACTATTTGCTCCTTATGGTTTTACTTTTGTTGTATGGAATTGGCTTTTTTATACTATTTCTATGCCGGTGTACTGCAAACGAAACACTTAAAAACTTTTATAGCAAAAAAAATTGATTTTCAATTTTTTATTTTGCTGTATACGTGTTCGATAAGTACGGTACATAACTTCAAGAGCGTATTCTGGAGCTAAAATGAAGGTATTTTTGTCATATACAATATGTCTCAAAAATGCTTCGTTGTGGAAATACAGGGTGTGAAAATTTCATAAAAAAATATAATTTTTTAAATATTTCCAAAACCACTTAAGATATTTTAATCAAACTAATCGCTGAAAAATATGGAAGGAAAAACGTGTTATGCCCTGTTCTGTTTTAAATGTTCAATTTGGAAGAAAAAACAACAAAGACAGTAAATTTTTTCATTCTTTTTTTATTATTTTTAATCTCTTTGAACAATGTACAACAAGAAAGTTATCTTCAATTTTTCCCAGGTACTTGTTTGACATTTTACTAGTCGCCAATTGCTTATTTATTTGTATGTCAGACATTAAAATGAATAACTTTACTAACGTTGAAATAGCTCAAATGCACTTCATTTATGGCTTAGCCAATGGGAATTCAGCGGAAGATGGAAGAATTTATCAGCAACGTTATCCGAATAGGGTAACGTCATGTGCCAAAACATTTAGAAAGATACATGCCAGATTGAGTGAAACCGGTAGTTTTGAGCATAATCGGGTAGTTCCTGGTAGACCACGAACAGTAACAACGCCTAAGCTAGAAGAAGCTATACTACAGGAGATAGAAGAAAATCCTTCAACTAGTACCAGGAAGATTGCACAACAGCTTCAAGTAAGTGCAAATACTGTTTGGAGAGTTTTGAAAGTTTCTCTGCTTTATCCATACCACATACAACGAGTACAAGCTCTGCTGCCCGCGACTTTCAGCCAAGGCTAAATTTTAGTTTGCATAAAATTGCTCATATCTACAACTTTTTGACCCTAATTTTATTTACTGATGAGGCAACTTTTTCGCGAGAAGCAATTATTAATTTTCATAATGAACATATATGGGCTGAGGAGAATCCTCATGCAATAAGAGAAGGTCGCTTTCAGCAAACTTTTTCACTAAATGTATGGATAGGGATTATTGATGACCATTTTATTGGACCATACTTTTTACCCCCTCGACTGAATGGTGATTCGTATACTCAGTTTTTACACGAAGAACTAAATGGTCTGTTAGAAGAAGTGCCTCTGCAAGTAAGAGGAGATTTATGGTTTATGCACGATGGTGCACCAGCCCATTTTAGCTTTCTTGCTCGACAATGCTTTTCCTAATCGCTGGATTGGACGCGGAGGTCCTCAAGCTTGGCCACCTCGCAGTCCCGATCCTAATCCCTTGGACTTTTATTTATGGGGTCACCTTAAATCACTCGTGTATGAGAGACCTGTATTAAATGAAAATGATTTAAGAAATCGAATATTTCAAGGTTGTAATACCATAAAAAATACTCCAGGAGTTTTTGAAAGAGTAAGACAATCAATGAGGAGACGATTAGAATCGTGCGTTTTATCAGAAGGTGGCCATTTTCAACATTTGCTTTGATTCTTTGTTATACTCGTAAGTGATTATTTATATGATTGTTATTTGTAGTTAAATAATAAAAAAAAATAAAAATGGCTCTGTAATTATTTATGAAAAAAGTCAAGGGACCTTTTTTCTTCCAAATAGAACAATCAAAAAATTAAATATTGAAAAAGAACAGCGGCGTAACACGTTTTTCATTCCATATTTTTCAGCTATTACCTTGTCCGCACGCCACTGGTTAAACGAAAGCCAATATGTTTACAGTAAAACACGCAACATTGCTAAATCTCAAAAGCTGTAAAAATTTGATTAAAATATCTCAAGTGGTTTTGGAAATATTTAAAAAATTGTATTTTTTTTATGAAAATTTCACACCCTGTATTTCCATAACGAAGCATTTTTGAGACAGTGTATATGACAAAAATTCCTTTATTTTAGCTCCAGAACATGCTCCTGAAGATATGTACCGTACTTATCGAACACTCTGTATACAGGTCATTGAAATACGATTTTCATATAAAATTGGTTATAGCGTGCGAAATATAGTATAAATATTAAATATAGTGTAATCCCATACTATTTATTATTTATATAATAATGGGAGAAGCGAGGACAATTCAAATATAAAAGAAAATATAGGGTGTGTCGCATTTAAAAAACTTCTCTGGAGAACCCTCTGAAATTGTATGAAGGAAAAAGTAGGATAAAGTGCTTGATATTTATTTATATTTATATTTTTTGTTTTGTCTAAATTATAGAAAATGAGAGATGTATCAGATCACACATGCATCGCTAGCTATTATATAAAAACTTTGGTTTTGTGGGAAACCGAAAAAATGTGTGACGCCTTTTGGAGTAGTTCGATTAGTTACGTTTTTATGACGGTGAGTATAAAAATAAAACAAAAAATTGAATTCATGTTTATCCATGTTGAATGTCTAAAAAATTTACGTAAGATATTTCAAATCTATGCAATTGTTTTTTACATTTGCGACATTTCATTAAATTCCATTGTGTTTACACTGATTTTACAAAAAATATATATTATAATTTCTACAATTTAAAAAGTCATCTATTTCTTATAACTTATTTTTAATAAACTTAAATTTGATCATCAGGTTTTTCACAAAAATATAGTATATATGCTTAAGAGGATTACATACTCTGACCAACATTTTGGTGATCTCGGGTAGAGTCCCGACTTCTCTGGGTCCCTCTGAATGATGTCCGAGTAGAGTCCGGGAAATGGTTGAATAGAGTCCGAAGCTCATTATCTCAGGTAGCCATATAAATAGTAATAAATACAGGTAGCAGAATTATTTAATTTTTTTTTTAAATTATACTTTTTAAGGAAATATGGTAATAAAGTAAACCAGATAGATAAAAAATACATTTATTAATCATACACATCGGCTTAAAATATTTATATCAAAATAAAAGTGATTTGTTTTTATTTACACAAAATGCAAAATTAGGGTGTTCCGAAAACTTTTTTTACATTTTAAATCGATTCCCAACTACCTTAATAAATTCCAAGTTTGTTATATCCCGATTTTTTAATTGGCATATCTTGTCATCCTAAAATTGTTTGTTTTCTATAGTTTTTGCAGAGTATATTTTTATTTCATTTTGTTGCGCTGTCCTAATCTTTATATATGTATCACTTTGAAAATCTATTAAAATTGTAATAAATTGAAAATTATGAGTATGTGAATGGTAAAATGACGCGGTGAAACCTCCTATGTGATATTTTATCACATTTTTAGATTTTTGTACCAGTCCATAGAAACTAACATTCTGTACAGTTTAGCGAAACCTCTCATGTAATTTTCTTTTAAAATATTGTGATTTTAGACCTCCCTTGGGCGTAATACTTATAAGGCATCAGAACAAAATTGTTACGTTTTTATATCTACTGAAAATTTTGATAAAATGTACATAGGAGGTTTCACCGCGACAACGACGATTTGTAGTTCTTTTTACACTACTTGTATATTCAGCCCAAATGTATGGTGGAAATTTGGACGATTCTGTTATATAAGTATCTACAAGATAATCTGCGAATAACGTAAGTTGGGAATTGCTGGGTTGAGAAGCAATCAAATCAATAGCAAAACAATCTCCAACATCTGCTGAATTAAGAAACGGCAAACCAAAACAGTTTCTCAAAAAATTTCCAACTTCTGAATCCTTACCCTTGTATGCAGTAGTAAGGCCAAGTTGTTGTATTTTTCGCCACCTGAAAAGTGCATGTTGCATTATAGTCAACTGACAGCATTGAAATATATATTTTTTAGGGTTGACCAAAATTTCTCTTCTCCCAAGTTTCTAGCACACTTTGGTGGATTGCCTCTTCAAAATCTGCCACTACTGTTGTTAGTGCCAATATTTTACCAATCTTTTGACATTCTTGTATTGCATACATTAATGCCAACGCATAACTTTTCTATTGTTTATTTGGAAGTACGAAAAAGACTAAAGGTACATAATGGTCGCCTGCTAATCCGTGAATGGAGAACATTTGAAGAAAAAATTTCCCATCCACATATATGGATTTCAAACTGCACAAGAACTCTAAATTCCTTTTCGATGAGAACATAATTATATTGTTTTCTGTGTCGTTTACAAGAAGAAAAGTTTCGCCCCGATTTGTCATGACAGGATAGGAATTAAGAATGTTGTGAACTTCTCGTTGAGTTGTTGGTAGTTTTGGTAGAAAGCTCCTTCGAGAGTGGTATATATTGTTTCTTATACATTTGACATCGCAATTAGTCAATGTTTCGACATCTCCCTTCCTCAGTTCTCGGTGAATGAATTTTAAAGGTCTCTCACTTAAATATTCTGAAGCTTCTCTTTTCAAGGAATTACTTCATTCCTATTAAGAATGTTTTCATCAAGTGGCGGGTGGTTATGGTTGTCAACAACTTCAATTATATTTGTTTTCCCCTCTGTCTTCAAATAGGCCGTACACTTTTTATTTCCACTTACCGAACACTCACAACGTTTGATACCACCAGTTAGTTCTTTATGAAAAGGATAATTATATATATATCTAAGACTAGAAGCTCCTTTCCTTTCTCTCTAAGTATACACTTTAATGCATTCATAATTTAATCTAATTCACTTGTCGGTTTGTAAACTAAACTAAAACGGTAATAAACAAATGACATAATTTAATATTTTTATTTTCGGGGATGTAGAAGGGGACCAATCAATATGTACTTTTCATGTTCACAAACAAATAATAGGTAGTTCTTGAAATATATATTAATAATAGATAATACTAAATATTTAAATTCGTAATCTAGGTAGTTAATCCTTTAATGATTTAATCTGACCCCGGACTCTACTCAGCCATCTAAATTTTTGACCGATATTGTATCACTCTACTCCGTTCTGCCCCAACATTTAACTGGCAGTAAGACACGCAAAGTTTAGAAAAAGATAAACCGAGGATTTTTAATGAAATAATGAACTACGCTCAAGTCGGCATTTCAGACGAGGTATAGCGGATATTCGCCATTCAAATTAATTTTCGCGCTCCTTTTCAGAAGTGGTGTACTTTTGATGCAATTGTGTTTATTTTGAGCGGGATTTTGTATTTGTAATTTTTTAACTGTTTTTAGATAATATCATTATAATATATTATTTATCATGTGTTTATGACTAATTTGTTGGAAATCTTCACCTATCTGGATGTTACAGAAACATTTAGAAATATTTGTTTACTGTTTAGGACATATTTTATTTTGTGGTTTAAAGGAAATTTCAGGTACCTACTTAACGTTTATTATTGATAAAGTTAATTAAAAATCTTGTATCCTTATTCTTATATTATGAAGTGAATGGTGTAGTACTTTGTATGCATGTAAACGGTAGCAAAACTGTCACAATGCTAAATGCAGTTTGATTCTAGAGAAAATTTTGCAAAATCTGAATAATGTGAATTTGTAGATATACATTTATCTTAAGAAACAAAATTTTAACTTACGCTTGGAAAATAATGAAAACTTCAGTTTTGATTTTGACATTAACACCATCCATATAGATTGCAATTTACTGGGGTCTTTTTCACAAATTTCATTTTTAATATAAACACTATCACACACTAAAAGAAATAACCAAATTTAATGTTCACAAATTAAAAGGTAAACAGCGAACACGAACGCCAATGTTGCCAAATGATGAACTGATTTTAATACTAAATTAATAAATGAACTGAAATTAAAAAATATATATAATAAATTAGTGTTATGAAAATCCTTAAATAAATATAGAGTGGGTATGATTACATATTGCTAGACACAAATTTTGTTACTTAAAAAGGGGCTAAACCTCGTAAAACGTGTTCTCAAAATGTCTTTAAAATTACTTAAAAAATATAAATACAGCGTTAATTTAAAAATTACGGCATGGTATGTATTCCTCTTAAACTCCTCTTCATCTTCAATCTTAGATAATTTTAAGATTTGAAAATTGTATAATTTCGAATGTTGCTGTAGAAATATATTTTTAGTTCCTTGTAAAGGCTGTATGTCACGATACTAAATTAAGTACTAAATTTAGCACTAAATTAAGTCATTAATTTAGTACTAAATTTAGAACTAAAAATATTTTTTTTCCGTTTGCAACGATACCAATTTTTAGTACTAAATTTACTATGGGCGCACGCGCATTGACGTATTAATACGTGAAATTAGCAGAGAAATGAAATATTCTGTGTAAAACAGACAAGTGAAGTAAATGGTGTTTTTATTATCAATTTGATACTAGTTGACTTGACAACCAAATACAGCATAAAAACCACGGAAAAACACAATAAAACCTACAAAATCAAACAGGCGAACTTTATTCAAGGCGATAATGTGAAATTGTCGCTAATTAAAAATAAAAGGGTACAGAAAATACCGTCGTGTCAACTTTTTCTATGAAAAACTTCTGCGCAACATTTCGGCGCACTTTTAGTAATATATTTAGTAGAAAATAGAACAAGATCTAATTAATTAATGACTTTTTTTAGTACTAAATTTGCTGTTTGCAACGTGAATTTTTTTAGTACTTAAAAAATGCATTAATTTAGTTCTAAATTTAGTACTTAATTCAGTATCGTGACATACAGCCTTTATACATACAAATGAATATAAACTGTGTTCAACTTAAACACAAGTAACGCGTAAACAACACAACTAGCCCCATAGCCACAGCACATTGATCTAGAGGGTAGAGAATCATCAGAGATACCACTGGTAAAATATAATATTCATACTGCCAACATCAATTCGATATTCAATACGCTCCAGTTGTAGGTCCGGAGTGAGGAAATGTATAGTGAGATGTAAGAGGGGATAGACAGAACGAATTTACGGCGATACAAAACATTTTTATCAATGAATATATAAGCGCTTGTGCGCTTATAATAAACAACGTAGAAAATGCAAGCCGGTGCAAGCCCTGTTGCCACATCTAGTACTAAATACTTGATATCCAACTTGACATTAATTAACCAGGTTTTGAAATTTATTGAAAATTATTACATCTAATTTAGTTAAATTTGATATAATTAAGGATTCAAAATTTTTTTGGTCAGTTGCAATAAAATAGGTTGAATTATTTTAATCAAAGGTTGTAGGTGTGTACATACTGATAGTTCAGAAATGAAACGAAGAAAGGTATATTAAAGTTTGTAAGGTTTATTTAATAGCGCTTTCGGCTATTATTAAGCCATCATCGGAACACTATAAAAAAGAGAACCACTGTATTTCACTAATTGAAAATAGTTAAAGATATAAAAATAACTTACTCGTCAAAAATTTGTAAAACTTTTATAGAAAAAAAAAAAAAAAAAAAAAAAAAAACAATAAATTAAAAAGGTGAAGAACAAACTGGATATATAATTAACTAACAAAAAAAAATGGATTACAAATGTAGAATTTTGAAAAAAATCCCTAATTGAGGGATGTCAAGAGCACGAGGATGGCACCATTTTGTAGGTTGAAAGTTAAATTTTTTTTTTAAATTTTGACAATTATCTAAAACTGACAGTTGACAAGCTGTTTGCCGACTTTAGGAAGTTAAATTTTTTTTTTAAATTTGAAAACATGTTTAAATTTTGAAAAGAATATGTTTCGGTATGTTAAAGCAATTATTATAAATTGATTGTACGTTAATGAGTGAATGAAAACAGTAGTAAATTTATTCAACTTTCAAAACCTACAAAATGGTGCCATCCTGGTGCTCTTGACATCCCTCAACTAGGGGATTTTTTCTAAATCCTAAATTTGTAATCCATTTTTGTTTGTTAGTTAATTATATATCCAGTTTGTTCTTTACCTTTTTAATTTAATGTTTTATAAAAGTTTTACAATAGCAGTCGGGCTTGTGCGTCATGCTGTGGTCATGGGGCTATACTATTACAATTTTTAAATGATGGTGATTAATCGAAGGATTATTGTCGGCCGGCAACAATGTATTTCTAGAATTACCCGTAATCCCCTATGCAGCGGCGTAACAATGATTCGCGATATAGTTGTATTTACGCGTTACTTGCGTTTAAGTTGAATAGCGAGTAAGTTGTTCAGTTTTTGTAAATGTGAAAAGGTAAACCCCAATTCCCCCTAGGAAATTAAGAAATTTATTCGCAAAGTAAAAACAAACCAAAGAAAAATTGAAAAAACAATTTTTTGTGTGTTTGTTTTCACTTTGGCATAAATTCCTTATGTTCGAAGGGGAACTGGGGTTTATATTTTCACATTTCCAAATATTTCATACTTTAATTTTCTATATTTAACTGATATTTCCTTTCTTTCTCAAATATAAATTGTTTTAGATTTTAAAAAAGTATTACGAGTGTTTGAGGGACAAGAGGATCCCGTACTATTGGTATAAGACAAACAATCTTATACAGGGCGTGAATGATATCACGATGCAAAATATGCAAAACAGAATCAAATACATTATTAATGATATCGAAAGCCACTTACAAGACGATCCAAGTGTTGTGATTAAATATCTGTGTAAGTAAAATCTTGACTAATCTTTTATTAATGTTTACGCTTATGTAGGTACATAATTTTTTCAAGAAGGGTTGACTCCAAATTTGAAATTGGATCATTTTCAGAAAAGCTACAGAATCGATGACTAGCTTCCTACTGTTGCAATCAGTGAAAAATATACAGTAAACTGTAACAAATAGAGGAGTTAGCCCTTCAACAAAATAACTGCTTTAATTAATTTTAATATTGCATGTCGCATAATTCATTGGATAATCGTTCAATGGGGGTTAGTTCGGGGTGATGATGTGGCAATTTTATTACCGAATGACTGCGAAGTCACTATTTCATCAATTTCTCGAAATCTTTCGACATTTACCCCCTTTCTACCTGCCATTGTATCTTTCAAGTAACGCGTCTGCTCCAAAAATGCTTCTTCCTCTCCCCTCAGCAATATAGTGCATATTATAATTTTTTTGTTGAGCTCGTAGTTCGTCACAACCCAATTTTTTGTTGCAGTGACTCCTATGGAACAAACTCAGTATAGGACGTCAACCTTAAGTCTAAGGTAGATTCTATGTAAAGGAAGAACGCAGACTGTCAATGACAGCGCATGAATAATAAGGGCTAATTTTAAATGCACGTTTCTTAAGATCCGTGCATACATATATAAAAAAATATATATCGGCGAGTTTGCCTTTATTTTAAAGTTTGACAAAAAAATAAATCCTTTTTTTACTTAAGTGTTAATGATCAAATTTATATTTTAAATATTATTCGAAATATACCCAAATATATTATATATCCTTGTTTGTTAAAAAATAAAATTTTCAATTTTATTATTTTTTTATTGTTCGTTTCATTTGTTCCTACTTCTTCATAATTTACATTTTTGAATTTGACTCTTTAGTTTATCTATTTTGTTTTCCATCTTTTTCTCTAATTTTTTTTTTGATTCTCTTAGATTCTTTCTTCTGATTCTTTTATAATGGTTGCCATATGCCTGTTATGGTATTTATCCATTTATTTTCTAAGATACCCATTCTTGCCTTTGGATCTTGTTCATTCAATATTGTTTTTTACTTTTTCTTTAATAATTCTTTATATTTTCTTTTCCATAAATTCTTCTACTCCAAATATTCTTCCACCATTCCTTCTTTGTTCCTAGAATTCTATTTTTCATATTTTGCTATTTTTTGACAGCTTTCCATAATAAATAATCAGTGATTTAATCAACTGTGAGTTCTCTCAAGTACTTGTTGGTCGACTCATTTTTAATTTTTTGTAGCTGTTGTGTAGTCTACTTAATTTCTTTTATCCTCTTCAGTTCTCATTTTTGCCACTCATTTTGAGCCTTTATTTTGTTTTGTATTAAGTCCCTTATTTCCTTGGGGGTAATTAATACCTAATAATGCTCGCTGTCACAGCTCATTTGGGATCTATTCTGTAAAACATCCGTTAAAATTTAGAGGTCTTCAAAAATTTAACTTTTAGCGCCCCATTAATTTTTTTAACCAAAAATGGTATTCTGTATACATAAATTTTAGAGGGCTGTTAAAAATTATTTATTTAAATGGAGCCCCTTAAAATGACAGGAGAACACTTGACAACATCGCATTTAAGAATCATTAAAACTAATTTTTAAAAATTAAAGGTGAATTTTAACATCCCTTTAAAAATTATTATTATTATTTAAAGGAATCCGTTTAAATAATGACAAGCAAATTAGCGAATACGAAAATATTTTTAAAGGCCGCCAATATTTTAACGGCCGTTAAAATATAAAGGAATTGTTACAGAATATACCCCATTGGGGTCTATTCTGTAAAAATTCCTTTATATTTAACGGCCTTTAAAAATATTTTCTTCTTTAATTCGGTCACTATTTAAACGGATCTTCAAAATACATTAGAGGACTATCTTAAAGAAATCTGTTTAAATAATGATAGAAGTAAATTAACGAATACAAATATACTTTTAAAGGCCGTTAAATATAAAGGAATTGTTACAGAATAGACCCCAATGGGGTCTATTCTGTAATAATTCCTTTATATTTAACGGCCTTTAAAAATATTGGCGGCCTTTAAAATATTTTCGTATTCGTTAATTTACTTCTGTCATTACTTAAACAGATTTCTTTAAGATAGTTCTTTAATGTATTTTAAAGATCCGTTTAAATAGTGACAGAAGTAAAGAAGAAAATATTTTTAAAGGCCGTTAAATATAAAGGAATTGTTACAGAATAGACCCCATTGTCGGTTAGAGAACTTTTGGCAGCGGAAAACATTCCAGTATTCTCCCTACAGTCCAGACATGACTCCATGGGATTATTTTCTTTCTGCAACGCTTAAGCGGAAATTGAAAGGTTCTCATTACAGAACAATAACATCCAACGGCTTGACGGAACAAGACTTCTAGAATTGTTACCAGGATGGAAAACTCACTGAAGACACTGTCTGCATTTCCAAGAATCATACTTTGAAGTGGATAATATTATATTGTAGATACCTAACAATAATGCCAATTTCAATACCAAAATTAATTTTAACAAATCTTATCACAATATTTTCGTAAAGATAATTTACCTGAATTGTACAAAAAAATACATAATATTGACTGGAGCTTTTTAGAAGTATTTAAAAAACGTAAATGTTGTAACACATTATTTATATGTTAAGTTCTACAATGGCCCTAAAATACCCCCCAAAATATATACGTCATCAACTAAAAAAAAAAAAAATACAGTAAAACAAAGATTGTCATATAAAATAAAAATAACCCTATAAATTGAAAATTAAAATATATTTCTAAATAAAAAATTAAAAACAACTTATTATAAAACTAATAGTCTTTTTTCTGGTACAAAATATGAGTTCTAGACGTTGCATTTTGCATTGTTTCTACACGCTTAGCGTTATTCATCCAGAGAAGCGAATATGGACTTCTTGTGTTATTACAGTCTTTGGTTTTTATTAAATTAGTTTTTTTGAAGTTTTGAAAATGGCACGTGTTTCTAACAATAATGAATAAGGGCACTGTGGTCGGTACTTTTATTATGCTAAAATAAGTTTTCGATTTTCAGTAACCAAGGATGAGAAAACACAGTACTACGAACCATCTCCTTCTCGTTATTTAGCAACAGATGAAGATGATAGAGGACTCAGAACCGAACAAATTGTTGGTATATCTGTAGGTATAGGTATATTAGCTATAGGTGCAGTAGGCCTTTGGAGAGCCCTTTCTAACTCGGACAACAGAAGGAACTAAAAATTCTTTTAGTAATTGAATACCTAGCTAGGTCAAGAAGGCAGAACCATCTTTATAGGAGCAACAAAATTTTGCCAAATCCCTCTCAAGAGTATTATTTTACACTATAGATTTAGAACATATGTTTTAGTATGTAATTTTTTTACCTAATAAAATCATTGTTGACTACCATCTGGATATTACTAATTAAAACACTTATGTTCCTTCATAAAAAAACAATAAATATATTAAATATATAAACATTTAAAAATGCTTGTACAATATTTGTAAAAATTGAAGCTTGTTAATGCATTGAAAAAAAAATCATTTTTTCTTCTGAACTACCAGTCATTGGTGTCTGCCAGATCTGAAAACATCTTATCCTTAATTTTTGGCCTTGGATCTTCCTTAATATTCGATTCTATTGCACCAGTTTTGCCAATAATGTATTCGAACTCTAAATAAGAAAAGTCACATCAAAGTTATAAAGAAAAATATATGGAAGAACGCTATCCAAATCAACATAAAACTTACCATCTTGAGTAAGATTAGGACCCCTAAATTCCAAAGGGCCTGCAAGTTGTTTCTTCATATCGCCTTCAAAATAAACAAATATTGTAGGCAAATTTTTGTCTGGGTAATTTGGTATGCAGGTTGTTGAAATAGATTTCAAAAATTTTACTGTGGGGTATTTGGCAGCCAGATTTTTCATGTATTCGTTCATTAATGCACATAGAGGTATTCTAAAAAATAATATATTTTTTTAAATTGAAAGGAATTCATAGTAAAAAATTACCCTTGTTTGTAAAGATGCAAAACTACCCAAATACCTTCTCCTGCTTTATTGACCTCTTGAATATACTCCTGCGCTGAAATTTCTCCAACAAATCCGAATTTTTGCCTTTCAGCTAAAGCTTTTAATTCAGCTATCCTTTTATTCCTGTATTCAAGTAATATACCCTCATCTTCAGAGTCTTCCAATTCATCCAGCTCGTCTAAGTCAAGTTCTGATAAATTTTTACCAGCTAAAAGAAAAATTTTATCTACTCTATCATGTGAAATCAATTTTGATTAATGTAGAATTTACATTGATTTTAAAATATTGGTAGTTTTCTAGCTTGAGCTCTTTGCAATATTAACAAAAAGTAAGCATGCATATTTGTAATAACTACAATCTTAACTTTCAAATATTGAGAAAATTATTAATAACTTCACCATTAACCCTAGATTGCCAGTGTACAATTTGACATATATATTTTCAAAGGTCCTCCATATCTCCCTATTTTTAGCTTTTATCACATCGACTCCCTAACTATGCTTTCCTTAGTCTGTCGATATAATATTGTTAAAAGTGTGTCAACGTTCGGTAGCTCTAGGAAACGTTTCTGTTACATTTATATTTCCTATGTACGTCAAATTCATCTGGAAGTCGTCAAATTAAAATCATTACAGAGTGGGCAGAAATTCACAATAATCTATGTCTAACACTATCTAAAACGGAACTTGAAGGTATTTTTATGTGTCCTTACATCAAAAAAAGAGTGACGAAAATAAAGAATGCTATTTGCATGAAACCTATAAGAATGTGATAAGCATCAGAGGTGTCTCAAATGTTCAAAAAAATAGTAGAACAGTAATGTTTTAAAATATAGTAAGTTTTGTAACTGTTACATTATTATTTAATTAATATGCTCAATAATAATTGCAGTTTTTTCTTTTTAAAATGAACAGCACGTTCACCATGTCGGTCATATCTGGCCGACGCCGCTATTATCAGTTAGGCCACGTCAGCAATATGCAGCTGACACTACTAGCTTTATACAAGGCCACATTGTTGCTATTCGAGCGAGGGTTAATGGAGTTTTACATGAAATGTGAATAGAGTGGCCTCCTATGATAATTATTGATGACAAATTGTTGGCTTAACAAAAAAAAATATCGCTTGACGTAATACTCACAATAAAAGATTATTGAATAACACTGACAATCTACAGTTAATAAAAAAAATTTAAACACCCATTTTTCTTGATCTCTAAAAGCATACGAAAAACATTTATTATAAGTGATACTGATAAGTAGCAAAACATAAAAAAAAGAACAGATCTTTTGTCTTACTTGAGGTTTTCTTTTCTATGGTCTCCTCCAGCATAGATACAATTTGGTCTTCAGTTACTTCCTTTTCTTTTTGAGGAATAATTCCCTTTTCTCTTAGAATATCGTTCCATTCTGTATCGTCGTTGGGGTTCTAAATATTACAAATAGATTTTAGCTCGTATAAATTGAACTAAATCAACGCTGTCTCCTTTCTACTCACCTGCATTTTAATATGATATTCAAATTAGTAACAGTAAATTCTTTTCTAAGAGCTGGTCAAAGTGTTTCTAAATGAAATAATAGAATGCTATTAATTTGGTCTATTTTAAAGAGTCGTTTCCTAATCGTATATTTTTCCTTAGTGCTCTAAATTTATAATATCCTAAATTCATTTAAAAACACCAAAAAAGGGCATGACATAACCTACAAAATTGACAACTCAAGGAATTCTTCTTCCTTTTTTTGGGCTATATCCTACAGAACAATTTACCCAGCTATCAAAACGGGAGAGTATCGTATTTATAAACAGAACTTACTAACTTACGTGAGTCGGACTTGGGTAAGTCGTCTTTGAACTAAATTCGAAGTTCGGTTACAACATCTCTAAAGTTCTAGGTGGTTCTGGCACATAGTTTGATTACTATACGAGGCAAGAGAGAGGTCCGACACGCCCAACATAGGGCGCGGCCATTTTGAACCCTGTGACACAGTTTACAGCTAAAGAATCAGATCGCTCACTCTGCGTCGGCACTTTGGATTTCAATGTTTCAGTTTATACACTGTGCAACTCGGATAATACAATATATGACAACCGCCTATAATAAAACAGCAGTCTTCTGCGTATCCTGAATCCTGAATTTGTATCCCTGGAGTGGATGTTATTTTGGAACTTTCAAATGGTCCGAGTGAGCTAACTGATTCTTTAGCAATAAACTGTGACTTCAAAAATGATATTCACTGACACTGACAGCAGCAAGCAAAATATCAGGTGCGTTTTAATCATCCGCTTCTGCTTCCGGAATTGTCGGTTTAGTCGTTTTAACCTGTCAGATTAAAACAAGAAAACCGACAATTCCGAAGCAGAAGCGGATGATTAAAACGCACCTATTAAAAATATTGCGCCAAGATGTAGGCAACACGTAATAAGGGTTCAAAATGGCGGAGTTTTCTATCTCCTTTTAAAAGGCACTCAGAAAGCTGCGCAGTGCGACCATTCTCCGTATAGTAAAAGTATGTGGGTTCTGGTGTTAAACTGGAATTTAGAAATGGATATTAGCAAATCAGTAACTGTTATGTACATTTACGAATTTGTCACTACCCATCTCTAAATTCACGCGATATAATCGAACTTCGATTTTCGTTCAAGGACGACTTACCGAAGTCCGACTCAGCTGAGTTTTGTTTATAAATACGGACCACGGCCAATGAAGTGGAGAGGGGTAGAATGATAACTGTCAATGAAAAAGTCTGGACACTATGCACAATTTCGTTTTGCCCATTTTGTAAACAAAATTCAGGGACGGTTTAACAACATTTTGTGCAACAATTATAAAATAGTGCATCTAAAAATAATTAACAAGTATAATTTAATACTAAATCGGAATAAAAGCATAAAAAATCATAAATATAAGCAAGATAACAAAGAATTGACGCCAAAAAATCTTACAACAGCCAAAAAACAGAGCTGAATATGAACATAATCGCTGAATAAAGTCGATCCTGGAATTTGTTTACAGTGCTTTAGGGCAACCTCTCCTTGTCATTTACGTGTGTAAGAGTGGAAGGCTGAATCACGCATAATTTCTACACTCGTGATGGATGCGCAGACGGTACCTTATCGTTCTACCCTCTCTACTTCTTTGACCACGGCGTATACGGACCATCTTTCAGTATATTTTCTTCTTCTCTTTTAAATTTTAAAATAAATAAATAATGTAAATAATTGGAGGTTAGAAAATTAGAAATTATGGTTTAAAAATCTACTTTTCCCTTTATTAATTTTAATTCCAGTTAATGAATAAAAATATGACGACTGTGCTAAGATTATACAAAAATTCGTTTAAATATTTAAACATTGCACCCAAATCAATTGTAGTTACTCGTCAAACACAAAAATACTTTAGTAGTTACCAGAGAGTAAATGCTAAACAAATAGGCCCTTTTGGTTGGTTTCTTCTAGTAAATAAACAAATATATTCTTAATGTTTTTAAATAATTAAATCCATTACAGGTGATACCCGTGTCGACGTTTTCATTAGGCGTTTGGCAGGTACAGAGAAAAAAATGGAAAGAAGGCCTTTTATTCGATTTAAAAGAAAAAACGACAAGCGATCCTGTAAAACTACCACCTAAGTGTGTTTTTATTAGTTTTTAATGTTGAAATTATTGAAAAAAAATTTTTTTTCTAGTTTGGAAGACTTCAAACAGTTGGAGTACAAACCGGTGCATGTCAGAGGCACATTTTTGCATGATAAAGAACTTTATTTGGGACCTAGATCGCTTTTGGTACAAGGAGATGCATCTACAAAGAGCTCATTAGTATCTGGAAGCGCTATTGGCAGTCAAGGTTACTTAGTAATTACACCCTTGAAATTAGAAGACAGAGAGTGAGTTAAAATATTTAAAATAATGTTGAAACGGGGAATTTTAGTTGATCATTTCTAGCGAGACAATATTGGTGAATAGAGGTTGGGTGCCATACAAGTTTAAGGATCCTAAAACCCGGCAGAGCAGCCAAGTTTCTGGTGTTGTAGATGTAATTGGTATTGCACGGACTCACGAAAACAGACCAACTTTCACAATGAAAAATAAAGAAGGAAGTAATACTTATTTCTATAGGTAAAGTATAACAATAATTATGAAGCTTTTCAGTATTTTTTTGCATTTTTTTAGAGATTTAGAGCACATGTCAGCAGTTACTGGTGCTTCTCCTATTTACTTGGATGCCACTACAGATTTTGACATTCCCAATGGACCAGTAGGAGGTCAAACAAGGATATCTTTAAGAAATGAACATATGTCTTACATTTTAACTTGGTTTTCGTTATGTGGTGCTACAAGTTATATGTGGTTTAAACAGTTTGTTAAATAATATATATTTTATTAGTTGAAAGTTGTTTCAATCCATATTTTTACATTTATTTACAGTGTATATGCCAAATGAAGTGTTGCCAATAGCTGAAGGAGAAAAGATCCACCTCTCCAATAAAATTATCCTAACTTTTCTTCATTTAGATATTATTAGGTGACATGGTGAAACTTAATTTTTCTAAAATTGTAGAGCATCGATAATCCATATTATCTATTAAAACAAATCGAAGCCTTGGTCGCAAAAAAGCGAACCACTACAGCAGTTCAAAAATAAATAAAAGATTTTTTTTAAAAGCTTTGACAATGTATAAACTACATTATTCTGTAAATATATAGTGTACACAGAGCTGGGCAGTACTCAAGTAAATTGGTACCCAAAGTACTCAGTAATTGGTACTTGTAAGTAATATTCTTACCATGCCCCACCACTCTTCTGCTAAGTTTGAAAGATCGTTCACAGTAAGTTTATTTAATACCTTCAAGTTGTTCACTACCTAGTTTTCGACTAAATTTAAAAAGTTATCTTTTAAGTCAACAATAACGTTTATATCACTGTTTGTGTAAAAAAAAGAAAACTTTGTGTTTCATAAATAAATTTTAATTTTTTTGTATAAGTATCTATTTAGGTTAAGTAATGAAAACCTGATGAGTTGAGTTAGAGTAGCTTGAAGCTAATCTTCGCCTACCCGGTGCAAATGTACATTTGTTCAATAAAGACATTTTTATTTATTTACTTTCATCCAGATGGAACTTATATGCTGACGAATAACGATTACGAGTATCGACGCGCGCATATATTATAATGATTCCACCTTGGAAAGGTTAAACCATTCCAATATCCTAGAGCTTTTAAGGTTATAGCTCCTTTAACTTCTCACAAAAATTTCAATTTAAATTTCAATTTAAATAAAATTTTCATTTTACTTTTTTATTTTTTTTTATCTCTATATAAAATCTTCAATTTTAATATCTATCTATCTTGATGACTTCAATATAATATTCTGTTTTTTTTTTATTTTCCAACTGACAATTTTAAAATCCTCCTTCAATCTTCCCAAAATATATCTGACAATCTATTAATTTTCATAATCCCACTACCACCGGCATCACAACCCTAAGGCAATTCCGAATAATTTATCAACGGAAAAGGTAAGAATATGTTAAATGACGGAATCACGGCAACATGTTTTTAAATATATAACTTTTGAGTATCTCTATCTGTATATCTGCCTCTACCTTATAACTTTAACATTAAAATGAAAAGTTAGGCGTACACGTTAATGGTGTTAATTAGTTTATAGAAGATAAGTGATACTCTCGTTTTCTGTTTGTGACTTACTATTATAATTCCTTTTTTCTAAACTTGAGTCGCTCTTCGAGCATATATATTTGAAATATATATGCTCGAAGGAGTCGCTAACTAGAATTATTTAAAATGGATAAAGTACTCATACTAGTTACTCTCTAAGATTTGCAAACAAACTATTTGCTTTGAGTATTCTGTATCTGTAACGTGTGGAGGGTGGGTTACCCCCACGGCACTTAGGCATCATTAGGCCCACTGTGCGTTCTCCTAAGATGATAGGCACCTCGTAGCTCGTCAGTCAGCCTATCAACGTCGCCAAGAGGTGCTTCTCTTATATCGGCCGGTGTTAGCCGATACTCGCCGAACACAAATCTTCTAATATATGAAAGCGTCGGGCAATCGTAAAGGATATGCAATGACCAGTCAGAATGCCTGTGACCAGCCATGGGCGAAGTTAAGGGGGGGCTAAGCCCCCCCAAAAACCAAATTAGCCCCCCCAAAAACCAAATTAGCCCCCCCAAAAATAATTCGAACATTTATCGCACATCCACCCAAACATTTCAGATTTCAGAACAGAAATTAAAAAATAAAAAGAATCGTGCCATTTGATTCTGCAATTTTACATTTAGTTCAGGAGGCAGTGAATTTTTTTCGTATTCATTTTTCCAGTCTGTGTATATGAAAAATAAACTGTTCTCTTAGTGACAAAAAACAAAATTTTTGAGTCTGACACTTATTTTCCCAGTCATAACTATTTTACATTTACTAAACTAGAACATAAAGCTTATAAAAATGGCAGTTTGGATTATCTCAGATAGTGGAAAGTGAGTGTGGCAGAAAATTGAGCATATAAATTGATACAATCATGAACTGTTTATAATAATAAGTCTGGCTGATTTACGAAATTGGCTAATGAGTCTGGTAATATCTTCTAAATGAAAAAAATATAATATTTTTGCTTTTATTTTCCCGGGTTTGAAAATTTGTCACGTGATAGATTAAATTATAATTTTACACCTCCATTTTATAGCCAATCAACTGCTTTTATTTTAAAACACTTTCATGACAACCAGAAAAATTTCCGGAAATTTTTCTTTTGGTGGGTACCCTGAACGAAATTATACTGAATTTTTTTTTGACAGTTGAGCAGCTCTTTCATGCATATAAAAAATTTGCCGTTTCAGTGGTTAATATTTTATTTAATACCATTTATAACTAGGTAGAAATACACTACATTTATTTTATGTAAAATAATAATTAGGTTTTTCGCGTCAACTAAACGACTTCAAATATGACAAATGGTCATGGTATGGCCACAGCATATAAAACATATGTTTTATATTCTGTGGTATGGCAAAGTAACTTTCAGAACCTTTGAAAATTTGATTTTAGTCGTTTTAATGCATGTCTGTCAAGTTTTGAAATTTGGATAATTTGGTGTAAAACTTTCTTACCCAATACCAAACGTGCCTAAATTATTATCAGTAAATTTTTGCACACTCACGCATATTTTAAGAACATCATCCATCTACTTAGGATAAATTTCAAAATATTCGTAAGTGAAAATACACGTCTGGCTGACAATTACAATTACGGAGGCCTGCCAGACTCACAAGTAGTGTCCGACCGAAGGTTCGGTTACGGTTTCGGCCAACTTTGGCTTTAAATAATAGTTTCGACTACAGTTTCGGTTTCGGCGGAAAACTGGCCGAAACTGCAGCCGACAGCGAAACTACTTTTAAAAGTTTTCGTATCACAATTGGTTGTGTCCGGCACAATGGCGGCTGTGCCGGGTGCCATTCCTACACAGTGCATGTACACACAAACTTCTCTGCTTTGTTTCAAGTGAACATGTCAATAAATTTATTAATGGCTTCTTTTGATCACATAAATAAACAGGTAATAAGTAAATGTAGCTAAAATTTATAATACGAGTTAATTAGTCTAAAACAAGGATTACAATGAGATATTGCAAATTTCAATAAGAGATTGCCTTAGACGAGTCTGGCAAGGCATTCGGGGTGTTCCACATTAGCCAGATTGTATTTTAAGCTGTTATCATAATATACATTTTTCTAGTAGTGAGAACACTTGTAACAGGGATCCTTACTGGACATTGCCAACTAAAATTACTCCTTAGTAAACTGAGAGTAGTAGAAGATAGTGCAGATTTTTTGAGGAGGAGGAAAAAATCTTCATTCACATTCTAACTAAATGTGTAGCACTTCAGAATCCAAGGGCACTATACCTATGAGCATATCAAATAGAAGAGGGAGATTTACCTAACTTGAAGCCACTCCAAATCCTACACTTCCTTGAGGATATAATTGGAAGGATCTTTATTCTCGATTCAAGCTAAGTGATACGCCCTCTGGAGGAAATTTGTAGAAGGTCCCTATAAGTAGGATATCGTTCATTGTTGCCAGAAGTAGCAAAATTTCGCTACGTCGTCGGATTTTAGCTCTTGAAGAAGTGGATAAGACCTTTTATTTAAGAATCAAAATTTGTGTATAGTAATATGTAATCATACTCTATATTTATTTAAGGACTTTTTTATAAAACCGATTTATTATATTAATTTTTTTTTTATTTCAGTTCATTTATTAATTTTGTTTTAAAATCAGTTCATCATTTGGCAACGTGTTCATTATTTACATTTTAATTTGTATCAATTACAATTCGAGTTTTTCTTACTTTTTAGCTTTAAATTTGTTTATTTCTTATAGTATGTGATAGTGTTTATGTTAAAAATGAAATCTGCGAAAAAGTCCCCAGCAAATTGCAATCTGTATGGTGTTAATGTCAAAATCAAAACTGAAGTATTCATTATTTTCCAAGTGCAAGTCGTAAAATTTAGTTTTTTACCATAAATGGATATCTACAAATTCACAATATTGAAATTTTGCAAAACTTTGTTTAGAATCGATATATGATATTTTATCCATTTTCATAGATTCGCCAGAATTTTTTTACTTAACTTCAGTAGGTATACCTCTAGAACTATTATATATTATATGACTAGGGCTCGGGCTTTAGCCCCCCCAGATCTGATGACATAACTTCGCCCATGGACCAGACGCAGATTCTGGCTAATCATAGTCAAATATTTGTTTGCTGCAGTGTTGTCAGGATAACTTAAGAGCTCCATGGCAACTCTGCAGTTTCTTGTTTCATCCCATCTATCCTTAAATTTCACAAGGGAATGTTCTTTAATTAGGTCTGTCACTACCGATTTTGTCAGGCCAATAGAAGGACCAGGTCAAAAAAGTATTTGGATGGCTGCTTTCTTGGCTAGTGAATCAACAAGACGGTTACCTTTCGATGTGGCGTGACCTTTGATCCATCTTAAGGTGACCACATTGTTGATGGATAATTCGGCCAAAGCTTATCGTGACATTTTAGTACTAACTCTGAATAAATTCGTGGTCTGTTCAGGGTGAGTAGTGCTTGTCTGCTATCTGTATATAGATGAGCATGTTCCTTCCAGTGATATTGTTTCTGGTTATTTCTTTTGTTGCTATGAGAATCCCCGTTAGCTCTGTTTGAACTACACTGGCACTATTGCTCACAGCCTATTTTATGTGTAGGTTTAAGAATCTAGAGTATATTCCGCATCCTGAGCCTTGTTTTGTTTTAGAACCGTCGGTGTAGATATGAATCGTACCTGGCACTTCTGGCTTTTATATTTGTTCTATTATAACTTTATATGGCATATG